AAATTTGACGGTCGTAGAAAAAATATTCCCCGCTCGTGCCAAATAAACTCTTGATTCAAATGCCGTTCACCACATTTGTTAAATAATATACTTTTAAGAGCTTTTTGCACCTTATATTCGGGGAAATTATTTATGTATATATGTATACTAGTTGCCAAATTATTGTTTCGTAGCCAAACCGTCAGTTTAATTAGTACGTTCTATAAATAGAACTAGAACCAACAATAAGTGGATGGCGTTTTTTCAATATAGGGCCATAACGAACCTACAACTGGAAATATCCGTTTGTGAACGAATGTGGGACATCCGCACATATTTACCGGCCGGATTCGCGCATAGTAGGTGCGCAGGGTACCAAACGGTGGGACACCGTGGGATACAGCGTTGAAAAATGACATTGGGGATTTGGAGACGTTCGATTAACTGAAATCGCTTCGATTAAAATTGAAGGTAAAACATTATAAAACGAAAACTAGATTAGATTGGATACGTAAATTATGGTGGCCATTTCAAACACGTGGATAAGTACCGATTCGTACTTAGGCGGGTTACACTTTTTGATTTGATTTTTTTCATATTACGATTGCGTAGATATAAAATATAAGCGCTAACAACGCTTTGGGAAAAAATGCTACTATTTAATGTCGAAGGTTTATATAAAATCCATGAAAATAATTTCAGATGTTTTTTTCATACTATGGTTTCGCCCTGCTGCGAGAAATAAAAAAATACGGGAACTGTGTACACAATATTTGAAAATTTCCGGCCATTTCTGGTTACCGCAATCACATGCTAGTAATGGTGATTAAATTATGTAAATTTGAGCAAAACCGATTCATCGGGACAGGTTTATTGTTGCTGCAGATCTGTATGAAAGCAGTAGTACGTCGTACATGCAGGTTCCCAGGGAAGTTATGGAAGTTAAGACCTTTTTAAAAATGCAGCCGGCATCTCTAAGGTATTTTTTTATCAATTTAATTACTTCATCGTTTGGGGCGTTGTTTTTCGTCATTTCGATTTGTGAATTATGTTTGCAACATTTTTATATTTTGAAGATTCGTTGTTGGATGGCCCGTTTACCAATCATTGGTCAAACTTGTAAAATTCTTTGAGATTGCCAACGTAATGGCAAGGCAACAAACTTTGTGAAGTTAGTTATAAACTTTGGTCAAATCATTGACGAAACATAAACAAACAGGACAGAATAAAAAGAAAAAAAGTTTTCCATTTTATAAGAATCAATTACGACCACCTTGTACAGGCTTTAATAAAATTATAGTTAGTTTCGGTTAGTTTGGTAATTGGTAATGTTTAGTTACTGTTTTTGGTTTACTTCCATCGTTAAAAACAGTAAATATTTATTAACTTTTTTTTTAATGTAACTACAACCGAACGTAAACTATACTACACAGAAGTTTGTAAACGGAGACAATTAAAATAAAAAAAAATATTACAAACATTTGGAAATTTAGTTGTCAAGAAAAGTAAAAATTTATTGGACGCCTGGACTATCAGTCAATCATGAAATTAAAAAAAAAAATACTCATTAACAAGATTTACCACAACAAAATTTGCATATTTATTGTTTACGTATATTGCCAACGAATTAATAAAACTGTTAACAAGTGATTTTATTTTTTTTAATTTTATTTATGAACTAAAACTATTTGGGTCTTTGTCTAAACTTTTGACATTTCTGACGCTCATTCCTTTACCTAGTACGATTGGTGTTTTGTATTTCTTTAGACTGATAATGTCCGCCCTATGACGACCGAAATCGGATTGAAAAAAAGGAGAAGCAGTAAATCGCAGCTTTCGCTATACTCGATCATAACCGACATCATCACGCTGGTCCGCTGGAGACTGTTTGGTAAAACCAGTGCTTCCAAAACAAATAAGGTAGCAAACGAAAAGCTGCATTCGTAGATTTGTTTTTAAGCAACATTTTTTCTCCAATCCAGAAGTAAATAGTAAGTGTTTTCTTAAACATAATCACTAATTAATAAACAATTCAGTAATCCCTTTTAAAATTTGTTTAAGTTATTTTTTGTATTAACCATCAATGAGAAGCCACGTTAATGGGCTCTTATTTACATTTTTTTTGGTCCAAGGTACCTTTGCTTTATATTTAAAACAAATATGCCTTCTGGTTTTAATCATTTATGCAGAATTATGTGCAAGTGGAAAATACCCTACCTACCCTTCTTTCATTGATTGAGATTGTTTGAGAACCTCTCAACCACGATGAAAACTTTTTATCACTTATCGGTCATTACACATTATACATCGATTTTGTTGTAAGAGTTGAAGAGATTTAGTTTTTTTAATGTTCTTTAATAGTGTGAAAAACACATTGTATGGAGTGTTACGTCTGCTAAACCTAACCTTTGAAGGAAGAAGTCACAGGCTCAACGGCCATAATATACGCGGGTCACTTGAGAAGTTTCTCACCTAACAATGATACAAGACATTTTTTCTCTTTTTATTTGTTTCTACACATAGTATCCTTGTCCTCCTTCTCCCGGCGATGCTCCCATCTCTCTAACCCGTCCAAATAGCACCCAGCGTTTTTCTCTGCCAAATAATGGTTCACAAAGGTGATTGATTCCTCATTTGACGAAAATCTTTGTCCTCCGAGCCCAGTCTTCAAAAAAAATCGCTTGGGGCTGGATCTGGTGAGTAAGGCGGATGTGGTCAAGCAGTTCAAACCGTAATTCGTGGATGTTCGCCATGGAAACCGCTAAGGATGTTTTTTCTTGCAAAAGAGGTCGTTTCTCCGCAATTTTTGTCCTCAGCTAGTCAAGTAATGATGATTTTGAAGGGAATTTATTAAAATGACTCCAGTCCAGAAAACAGTCGCGATCACTTGCGCAACCGAAAAAACAATTTTTGTTTTTTTCGCAGTCCACTGTTTTGACTGTTTTTTTGATTCTGGCGTATAATGGTGTATCCAAGTTTCATCTACAGTAATTAAGCGGTGCCGAAACTCAGATTGATCGCAAATGAACTGCTCTAATAGACGTTGGAAACGTTCATTCGAACTCGTGTTTGGTCAACTTTAATTTGCCTTGCAAAAACAAATATTTTTTAACAGCTCTCTACTCAATTTTTTCCATTTTCACGAAAACACTCACATCGACTAACTCAAACGCTCTCGACTAAAAACTACGAGTCCAAAATGGCTGAAACTTTAAGGTGCAAACATTAGGAGGTGCACAACTACGACCACTAGCTTTTAGTAACTAGTGCCGCCATCTTCAGGGTGACGCCGGAAACTTTTCAAGTGACCCTCGTATCTATATATTCATGGAACAGGAATTGGCGCATGATGGTTTGTCTACATTTTATGATGGAAAATTGATCCCCCCAACGATTTTTTAAAATTTCGATTTTAACAACAATTTTTTTATAATGAAAATTTTAAGCACTTTTAATTAAAAAATGGATTCAAAATCAACCGTAAGAGATAAATTTATGAAATTTTCAGCATCCATGGACAAATGTCTATACTTTAAGAATATATTAACGATTTAAAATTATTTGTTTATTTTTGTATTATTAACTAACTTTTAAGTAAATTTCTTGGTACAAAAAAAATTTATCGGTCACACACATTTAAGTTTAAGATTCCGGAAGAAAATTTCACTGCTCGTCATTAGTTTAAACAAAATGAATTTATTTATGACAGCGCGCCGCGCTGCCGAGCGTCTCGAACTGCATTGAAGGTTTTATCAGTGATAATTTAAAATAATAATACAAAATATTATTATAAAACAAATTTTATTATTATTTATGTTATTTTATTGTAATTATTATTAATAAAATTTTATTTTTTTTAACAATATTAACAATCGTAAAATGAATAGAACAAACAAGCTTAAATAATTAAATTGTAAATTTGTCGTCAGTTGTTTTCTTTTTTTTTTATTAAACTTATTTTTTTTTAAATAAATACTTTTTCATCCTCTGAAACGAGCCTGCATTCTAGTGAAAAATTTTGCAATGGTTTGAAATCATGAAATTGGCGAATATTTTTTATTGTAGTTAAGCGTTCGAATCGTGGTTGGTATTTTTTTTAAGAAGAATTTTGGGCCCACTGAAAAAAGGAAAGTGTGGTTGTTATGTGGATGTTTTTATCATGTTGGATACTACCACGATAAGCTTGTCTTTTTACACTCCCTGTTAAGCCATCACGCGCTACTTTGCCATGAGATGTAGCGAAAACATTATATTTAAATAATAATTAAAACTAATTTTTTAATCACATAATTTCATAATTCACTCGGCCCATTTTAAATCACAGGAAATATTATTATTACAATTAAAAATTATAATACTAAAATATTAACTAAAAAAGCACAAGTCAACAACACTTCAGTTTTTATTTTTAATAATTATTTCGAAAAACAAATGAAAATCGTAACGAAGCGGTTTTTATTTTGTTAACTAAGGATGGAGTGTTGACTAGTAAATTTAAAAATAATAATTTACTAAATTACCTAGAAAAAATAAACATAAACCACAACAGTTTTAAAAATTTAAAGTTGATTATTTTTTTCTAAATTGATAGTATTCCTTATAACATTGTTAAAACAAATTATTAATAATTATTATAATAAAATAACATAAATAATAATAAAATTTGTTTTATAATAATATTTTGTATTATTATATTAAATTATCACTGATAAAACCTTCAACGCAGTTCGAGACGCTCGGCAGCGCGGCGCTTCCACGGCGCCCGGCGCGCTGTCATAAATAAATTCATTTTGTTTAAACTAATGACGCGCAGTGAAATTTTCTTCCGGAATCTTAAACTTAAATGTGTAAAGCATGTGCTAAAAATTTTCATTATAAAAAAAAAAAAATCAAAATTTTAAAAAATCGTTTTATGATCAAGTGGTAAAAAGTGACACGTGTGACTATTTTCCAATTATCATTACTAGTAGCTTCGATCGCTAGGTCACTGGATGTTAAAATCATTTTGTACAAGAACTTACCTTTCAATTATCGGCAACGTAGCGTTCGTGGGCACCGGAGAATGACACAAAACCACATCGCTCGGGATCTGAAAAGATTACGAAACCATAAACTTAGCAAACACATCTGCAAATGAGTGATTCGATTCTAACTGTTACTTTTTTACTTAAAATTTCTAAGAACGTCAAGCACGAGAAACAAATTTCAAACATTTTTGTTAACAGTACTCAGAGGACGTACTTTCAACACGATTCACTATACGGTTTATAAATCTCAAGGTAGATGCCGCTAGAGTTATATGAATTGAAATTCAAAATTTCGTAACTTTGTAACTTAAAACATTAACCAAAAAAGTGGCATTTTTTTTTAGGTTGATCGTAGAAATAACAATTTATGGGGTAATTAGTTTCAATCATTTATTGCGACAAAAAAAGAATTTATCTATAAAGTGGACATGATATGGTACTGACTATTAGCTGATTTATTGTATGTTCTCTCTGAATGAAAAATTATATTATATGTCGTTGGTAACAATTTCGAAGAAATGGAGCGAGATATCAACCTGTATCGAGTGCAATAATAATTTTAGCATTAATGTCATGAAGTCGAATTTCGGTTTTTATGGCAAAAAACATAGATTGAGTGGTTTGGATCTGGAGAGTGTTAATATAAATGGCATTAATGTGCAGTATGAGAAACATATATTTGGGAATTATATTAGATCCACAATTAAATTTTGATGCGCATTGTGATTATATAATGAGAAAGTTCTCACAAAAGGTGGGTTTCATATCTAGAGCAGGCAAAAATTTAACAAGTTATACAAAATTGTCACTTCACAATATCTTGACGGCGCCACATCTGCAATATTGTTCAATTCTAAAATGTAATAGATATACACCTGTGATGACTATGTTCAACGTGTTACAAATATTAACTATAAAGCAAAAAGTAATGTATTGGTAATAGGGTTAATTACTTTAAGAATGTCCGTGACTATAACACTAGAAACCGTACTAGTCAATACTACACATATGTTGAATACCATTTTAAATAAAGGTTTGTTAGTGATAATTTAAATGCTTTTAAAAGATTAATTAAAACTTATATATTGTCTGAAATTTTAACCTGATTTTTCTTTTCTGTTGTTATGAACTTTTGTTTTGTGTACTTTTGTACTTTTATACTTATTTAAATTTTCCTATTTTGCAACTGGCTCGTATATTTCAAATGTAAATATTATTGTTTTCTGTTATAGCTTTATGCTAAATAAATAAACAAATGAATAAAATAAAAATAGATTCATGATCATCTAATTAATCCAAACATTTCATTATGAGATTATTAATTAATCACCAGTGAGAGCAAACAAGACATCAAAAATCACAGTTAAAACAGAATCACGCAAATAGTACCGAGGAGTATTTTACCAAAAATCTTGTCCACAAATAGAAATGCATTTTATATGCCAACCGAGACCACGAATTTTCTCTATATATCCCCTATATATAATCGCTAAGTTGGTCATGACGTAACAGGGCGATATCGCTATTGCAGGATTGTTTATCGTTAGTCTAAGGTTCTGAGGAAATAAACACAGTCCGACGTTCTGGCAAATTAAATAAGACTCTATTTTCACTTATTCACACAGCGCACAACAACCACTTCTTTTACACTTGGCATGGACAACAACAATTCGTCTACCCGTCTTTCGTCTTACAATTCGTCTACTCGTCTTTCGTCTTATTAAAGAAAAAGAGTAAGCGGCACGGCCATCCGCGTTACTCACGTCTTTTCCGTCTTTTTAGTTTAATCGTCTAATACATAATGCCCCTGGTCAAGCGTCGTGACCTGCTTTTAAACCCTTCGTCGGTACGCATCAAAAGTAGACCCGAACTCTCAGGAAAAACCGAAAAGCGGTTTCCTTTTGTGATCGGCTCACGTCCGTAAAAGAAATAATGTAAACATAACCCTCTATAATTGCATGCAGAAATAATAATTAAAGAAATACCGCGCTGGCGAAAACTAAACCAAAGGATATATTTTATCCACACTATGTTAGTTTACATTTATGTTGATTATGTTCGTTTCCCCTGAAAATTCCAAAATATATTTTAACCTAATTTAATATGGATGAAATACGTACAGGTAAAGGCAACTTATTTTTAAAATAATAATTAAAATGAGTGTCATGTTTTGGTGATAATAATATCAAGTTTGCAGTCGCTAAATAAAAATATGTTTTTACTTGACATTAAATGTTTTTATTGCAGCTTCGATATTTTGAGACTCTGGCTGTAATAGTTCTTTTGGATGTCATATATACTACAAAAGAAAAAGGTTTTCGATGACGATACCTTCGCAACTTGGGAAACAAATCACAAACACGCGGTTTGCAGCAAAAAATAATTGAAAAAAAAACATAAGTCGTCGACTTTAGACAAGTTTTTTTTTTGTTTAAGCAATTATAACATTTTTTTATAAAATAAAATAACCATTGCACTTGATTTTTTTGTGATTCCGAGATTTGTTTTAGTTTTTTTTAATGAAGCCAGATATGAAAAAAAAATAAAAAAACATTAAAATTGTAATAAACAATAAAATCAATGATTTATTTCTTATTATAGATGTCTCCGGACCACAAAAAGAATACCAAGGTGATACTTAAAGAAAAAACTGCAAACTGAAGTTATATTTTTAATTGGCTAATGCGGAAAAAAAAAACTTACACTGGCATACTTTCTTATATGTTTTCTCGACAATATTAACGTACAAGCAAATTTGTATCTTATCCTTAAAGAATAATATCACCACATTTCAACAAAATTGGATGATAGTACGAATATTCACAAAAAAAAAAAACGATTTAAAAAGAAGTTGACCTCTGACCTACACTTATATGAACTTTTAGTCCAAAAAATTATTTATATATATATTTTTGTTTCCAACATACCTATATCACTTTGGATTTTGTTTTCTGTTTTAGAATTTATTCTAATAAGTAACAACGATAATAATTAAATTAACTTACATCGTTTAACACGGTGCAATCGTAACTGGGTTGGTATTTTTCTTGTTCGGACAGAGGTCTTTTCATTATCTTCTCCTTGTCTTGCTTATGTTTTCTGTCCGCCCCTTTCAATTTGAACACCTTAATTTGACAGGCAGCTGCGTGCAACCTTTTGCTGCCTGTTATGTTATCTCCATTCTGGTAGGTCTCCACTTGGATCCTAAACGGTACGCCTTTCTCACCGCCGTGCTTTTTGGGTGTGAATTCCGTACTTATACAATTAACCTGAAAAGCAATATTTTTTTTTCAAACTTTACAACAATAACATATTAGGTTTGGTTTAACGTTTGTGTCAAACTTATTTGGTGATGGTTGGAATATGCGCAACTCGTCTTTGCCGTATACTCATAAATTGGAATCTGGTTTCAAACCCCTAATCTGTTCCCTCATAATTCCCTAATACTTTGACAACTATTGTCCAGCAAATTCTCTGCGCATGCGCGTAATACAACTAACTTCTCTGAATTTTAAGGTTAGTTTTATTTTACTTTTTACAAAACTTCTGGATTCCTCGTGCGTCGGTTTTTACTGAGTCGAACTTGCTGACGGTTTCGCCAACCATCCCGTTGGCTTCTTCAGAGCTTGACTGAAACTGACTCGTATTTTACTCTGTACCTGCTTATATATTGTTTGAGGGGGACGGAACTAAATGGCTGATTCCCATATTGGTGACAAGTAGAGACCCGAGTCGCGGTTAAGATTGTTAGATTGTTAATAGATTTCTATAGACTCTCGGATTTGTCGTTGGTAGAACTGATTACATGCAAGAATTTTAGTTTTATCAAATAAAATTTTGTGTCCGGTTTCATGAGTGTGTTCGGCAACAGCTGATGACTTTATTTGTCTTAGTCGTAAGGCTCTTTCGTGTTCTTTGAGTCTAGTTGATATTTTTCATCCGGTCTGTGCAATGTATTCTTTGCCGCATATGCATGGAATGCTGTAAACTCCTGGCATCTCAAATGGAATTTTGTCTTTGACGGACTGAAGATGTTGAGAGATTTTTGGACAAGTGGTAAATCTGGTTTTGACGTCATACTTCTTTAGAACTTTTGATATGTCGTCAGTGATGTTTTGAATGTAAGGAAGGACCGCAGTGGCAAGTGTAGGATTGCTTTCGGAATCATTGCTATTAGAAGATTGTGGAGGATTTTTGAACAAACGATTGGAAATGCAAGTTTTTCATGAAACATGAAAGGAGCAGTTTTGGTTGGTTAGTTAAAATTTCCTGCAGGGTTACCGGAAGGTGCACAATTCCTACCTTTGCTGAAAAATTATAATTCAACCACCAAAGAACACAGATTACTTAAAAAGAGTAGGTTGGCTTTTCTTCTTTCTCTATTATTCAAGCTTGAGTTAGCTGCACAGTATACCGTTTTTACATGGATCAGAAAGAAGTTTAGGATTTCTCTCAATCGAGATATGTTTTCTACTACTTCATAGATTACTAGCGCATCCTGTATATTTTGTAATTTCGTGGTATCTCCATAATCTGGATCTTCATTAACTCAGATTCGGACCAGATTTTCAACTGCATTGTGTACTTTATAATCCGGATTTGATAGTGCTTGAAAATTTGGATATCAGGAGATTTCCCAAACCAAAGACTGCATGGATGACTACAGTAATTTTCGTATATCACTCTTTTATTCGTCAGGGGAAAAGTCATTTAAGAAGCCTTAATTAATCTGCTAATTTTGGAAATACAGAAGAGCCAATATGATAGGAAGGGGCAATTTATCACATTATTTCTTTCACCAAATTCTACACTGCTTTTGCAGTCTGTGGACCAAAATGCCATCATACCGAGGAAAAAATATTTAATCGGAAAAATCTTTTAAGCCATATTTTATCTATTAAGCACGCTGCAGGTCTACCATGCGATGCTTAGGAAAAAGTCTCCCAGGATGTGTTTGAGAAATGCTGGCATAATATTGTGGCTCGCGTTGCAAATATCAAACCAAACACTGGATATAACGCTGAAGATCTGATTCGTCTTAGTCAATTGCGACGTTATCTGCTTTCTTCAAACGAAGAACTGCGAGATAAAAAACGGTTTATGTTAATTTTAATTTTTTGAATGTTCTTACTGGACAATATCTCACGAACGCGGAAATATGTAATTTGATTGCAAAAATTTCTGTGCTTTTGTTTTGAATATTTGTTATGTTTGCTACTGTATTTTAGTTGTTTTGTACTAAATGTTTTCATTCTTAATACAGCACTTGTCTTGACCAAGTAATCCGAATTAGGCTACACGCAGATGACATTTTTCAACTTCCTGATGTGAATATAGTGTAGAACTTTGCGCTAAAATCTTCAATATAACATAGCATTTATGGATTCTATCACTAAAACACACAAACTGACACTTAAAATATTAAATCAACATTTTTAAAATATACGCCACCACACTTTTGTAAGTATTAAACTCCATTATTCTCCATCCAAAAATAAGGGTGTTCAAATTAAAATTAAATTAAAATACTCGCCTTTATGTATACACCAACTTCTTTGGTAGGATCCCAAACAAAGTGCACCACATTGACGGCATTCGTGGGTTGTATTATATCGAATGCCCCGTATGATAAAGGAATATCGGCTTCCAATATTCGATCGCCAGGTCTTGTTCTTTGCCAAGACGCCAGCTGTTCCTTTTCCATGTACTGAAGACGTCTCTCGTGAAAACATATCCGAACAATTGACTATAAAAGAATAATCAGTTTGATTAGTAATTTAACTCATAACTGGCCACTAAAAATTCTTAATCGAGCCGCCGCAGAACAGGGTCGTGTTTGCATTTCGAACGTTTGAATACCGGCATTATCCGCCGTGACACTAAGCCAGGAGCCGCTAAAATTTATATCATGTATTATGCTTAAATTAATACCATTGATTCTTTAAGGGTTAAACAAGAGTAAAGCTATAAACAAGATAATAATATGCGTTTATTCATTTAAAACTATAGTAACTAAATAAAACAAACAATTGAAACAATTGTTCGGAAAAAAAAAGTACCTAATTTGAAAATTACATTTCTAATTTTTTTTTCATGTGGTAGTCCCTAAAACATTTTCCAACACAGACGAATTTCACAATATCCGCACATAAAGTGTGTACCTCTCCTTATGCCGCGAATTTTGCACCGTTTCTGAGGATTTTTTTTCCCCGAACTTTTAAGTTTTCCAAGTCTGTGTGTGTTTATATCTCCTGAAAGCCTACTTGGTGGATCTTCACGAGAAGCTCTTTTTGATGGGCCTTCAGAAACTTCTGCTTCTAAACCCACATTTTCTTAATTTTCGACCCACCTTCTAGCAACTTATAGTAAATAAGAGGTAAATTTTATTTTCGTTGAAATGAATTAAATAATGCGCAGTTCAACATAAACGTAAAAGCCTTTTTTGTCCATGTGAGACTTTTTCTTATAATAGGATTATAAGAAAGGTATTGATCTGCCATATCGACACCGTTCATATACTTATTGTAATGTATAACACATTCTGCTTTTATAATAATTTCACCAGTTTTACGATGTATTTTACCGGTTTTACCGGACTTTGGCCGCAGTTGGCACAGCAAGAAGTCGCAAAAATTACTCAAGACAGGATCAAAAGATTTCTGATTGCTTAACTTAACTGACCCTACCTCGCTTTTGATCTTCCTTCCGGAAGGGCCGGTCCGTGCTGCGTCTCTGTGCCTTGGGCGGCGAGGAAATTTGTTGATCATTTTTTGAACCACACAATGAGAGCGACCTATTTAGCGTTTCACCGTGATTTTTAGTGGAGCATGCGCGTAAGAGCGCTGGCGTGTACAGCCGGTCCGTTAAGCTCAAGACTTTAATACCGCGAAGAAAAGTAGAACAATAACTTCCACGTGCTGTACTCGCAGCCAATAAATAAGTTATAGGTTTATATATATAAATTCATAAAAACCCGAAGGAATAATAAAATGAAAACTAAACATGAATTAACATATCTTTTTTTCTACGGAAAACATGATGGCCTCTTTTTAACTTATTTTTTTTATATCTTGAGGTAACCCACGATTTTCTCTAATTGTACCACATATTCTTATCTTCCTGAAAAGCAAATACTCTGCTAATTCAACACTATTATAATAGTTATCCATGTAAACACGGTACCAAATATTTTCATATTTATCTAAAAGATTTTTTGCGAAATTTTGCAACTTTGGTCCATTTCCGTTGTAGAATTTAAAGTTTATTATGTATGCAATTTGCGATTCGCATAACATTCTGACAAGCATACCATACTTAGTTATCTTGCCTGGGTTGTAGACTCGGAAACTTAAACGGCCTCTGTGGGGTATCATTGCTTCATCAATTTATTTAAAAAATATTCTGTTATTGGTTCAATTTTGAAGAGCCGATCTGCGTTTTCTGGCGTTTCATCATTATTACAAAAATGTAACGATTCTAATATTTGTCTAAACCTATTTCGAGGCATAAAATTGGTGTTTCAATGTGTGGATCAGTAGACCAATAATCGATTATACTACTTCTTCTTACCTGCCCCATTAAAATATTCAAACCAAGAAACTTCTTCATTTCGGCTATTGTTGTATCTGTCTATTGTTTAATCTTTTTCACGGATTCACATTTGTGAATATTTTGCATATGATACCTGTTTGTTTCCTTTACAAATAATTTTAAAAAGTCATCGCCAATAAACAAGTTCACTGTATCTTGCAAATTTTCAGGATTTTTTGGAAACACTTTAACACCATCATTTCCCAAAAAAAACAATATATCACTATCATTTTCGGATCAGTGTGTAGTTGTATTGTCGTTTTCAAACTCTGTACCATCGGAATCGCTGCTCTAAGAATCACTTACAATAGGTAAAACCTTTTTTTTAGTATTGATTACAATGTCTGAATCATCGCTCTCATTTGTATCATTTTCATCCCCAGATAATATATCAGCATAAAACTCATTAGTCTCATGGCAAATATTATTCTATTCAAAATCGTCTTCTTCCATTATAAAGCAGGTTAAATTAATCTAAATTTATTTAAAAACTAATAAAAAACCACTTAAAATAAATGATGGCACAAACAAAGTTATTCTGTCAAAAAACGTACTACTACTTCAGCGGCTACTGGATTTTAAATAAAAAATGACGTATTACTACGTCAGCGGCCAGTAATGAGTTAAAACATATTAAAGTTTTGAAAAAATCATACCTTTAACATTTTGCCCCTGTACATCGACAAATCGCCGAGTTTCTTCAATTTAATCTCATAGCTCTGTCCCTGATTTAGATAGGTCAATGTGTCCTCGTTCTGTTTGGTAGCGATACTCGTAGCGGCCGCCAATACGTATTGAAAGCGGCAATCTTCGATGAGGTTGTAATTTGTCGAAGAGACTGCGTAGTTGTCTTGCGAGTTTGAGGAGGGCGACAAATTGTTACCTATGCAAAAAAGGAAACAAATCTTACACCGAAATTGAAGTAAGGCGTGCAAAAATGGATGTGAATGAATGTGAAGATGATGTGTGATACTGGTTGTGATTTTAAACTCATTAATAATAATCTGTAGCTGCCGCTTCAAGTTTCTTTTCGCTCAAATGATGTGTATGTGTCTCTTGCAACATGAATTTGTTAGTCTACATTAATATTCGTCCAGTCTCCATTCAGTCCATTTCTCATCTATGACTTCTTTTTTCTACCAACCCCTTCACTACGGTCGATTTTTCTTTGCATGTAAGATGTTTGTCGAACTATAACTATGGTTATAAGTTTTCTACCATGCTCTATATGTCCAAATAATTTTGCGCAATTATACTAAAATCCTGAAATTCTAATGTTTCGATGCTCTTTATCTGATCTTTAAGTGTCCAAGTCTGTGGTGGTTTATGAACTCTTTTCAAGCGATGTCCATCCTAATTTTCACTTTCTCATCTTTCTCTAATAGTGAGTTGATCGTGGGACCTAGATATTTATATTTATTCCAGTAGCGTGTTGACTATTTTACTTTTTGATACGACCATGCATTTCGTTTTTTAATGTCGATTGTTAATCCCAGTGCTTTGCTTTCCGTGTTGACACAATCAACCAAATGTTGTAAATCATCTAACCTATCTGCCAAAATGTCGGTATCGTCCGCAAATCTTATGTTAATCACAATCTCCGATTTTCGCTCCTTCACTTTGTTGCATAGAGCTCTGGAATATAATCTACGAATATATATTGAAGAGCTTCGATGACAATACACAACCCTGTCTAATGCTTATCTCTCGCGACTTCGTTGGTTTCATATTTTTTTCTACTCCCGTCTGTAAAATACCTTTTACTCCAGCTTTTCGGTTATAATATATGATTTTTTATGATGTTAATGTCACGTTGGTCGGTATTGATGCGTTTTAATTGGTCTATAAGTTTTGAGTTTTGCACCTGATTGAAAGTCAATATTCTCTTATATTCTCGACACTTTTGCAGTAAAACTATCATCGCATATAGAGCATCACCGGTTCCCATTCCGCCTCTAAAACCAAATTTAGTGTTATCCTTCACATCTTTTACAGATTTAAGACAACTTTAAGGGAACCGCTCATCAAGCTGATTAAGCCATAGTCAAACACCAATTTCAACCAACCTCGTTACAGTTGTTAGGCCTTGGTTTTCTTTGTCTGAGCTTGAGTTTGACGTGGCCAAGCAACAAATTTGACTTGGTGTTTCTGTGTGTCGGTTAAGTTAAGTCGTTGCTATCAGACGTTGGAGCATATATCTGAATTAGATTTATGTTTAAGGAATAGGCTTTAAGATGCAGTGATTCTATCATTATAGCGAATAAAGTTTGTGACAAGTGGAATTATTTTTTTTTATATTTTGATTCCTACACAAAAATCATTGTTAATAATATATAACAAAATAATTACTTTCGATGACGTTGTGCAAGTTAGCGAGGGCACTTTGACTCAGCAATTGATTGATGGTGTTATTGAATACGTTTTGATTGCCGTCTTCGATGGAATTGTTCACAGTGTTAACCAAAGTGCCCGGTTGTGTCGACGTCGGACTCTGACGATTCTGGTGGGTCATCTGCAACTGTGCGACGTCGCCAATTGCGGTCGGTGATGGCGCTTCCTGCTTGAATACCGTCATTCCCGTGATGGTAAGCAAGTGATCGCTATAAACAATAGAACAACATTACACTTAATGTTAATTTATGTTGAGTTGGTAATAACTCATTAATTTAGATCACATTTAAATTGGTTTAAGAAAGATAAAAATACATATAGTGGATAATTTTTTTTTTTTGGAATTACAGTTCAATGAAACCTCAACTATAATAATACCTGACATATTGTCCGCTTCCAGTTTCCGGCGTAAGGTTGAGCGAACTGTCGATATCCTGATTGATGTCACCATATTCTTCTACTTGCCACTGAGGCATCCTGAGGGAGCCTTTAAAATAAACATATCCCATTATAAAAAGCAAATCACAATGCAGCGAAAAACTCAACACTTGTGGAAAAATTAGTGAATTAATTTGCACTATATAAAAAATCAATTTGGCAAGTTTTTGGAGTTATAGGGACTAAATTTAAAAAAAAAACAATATTTTTTTGTTTCTATCACGCAACATTTTAGAATTAATTTTTGTTTGTTTTGTTAATTTTGTTTTAAAAATAGGAACACTTCATAACATTCTAAAAATTAAAATGGCTACGCCACTGACGCATATTTTACATGAATTAAATATGTTCTTGCTTCTGTATTTTGTGCAAATGAAATATTGCTACGAAAATCTGAAAGTGTTTTGTGTGAGTGAGACAGTAGAAACAGACAGCCACGTTGGGTGAAAATGAACTGACCAAAAAGGGTTAAACTCTAGAATCAAAAAATATTCTGCACGATAGTCCTATTGATCCATAAAATTCTCGCAAGGTGATTAATGGAAGATCAAGACTTTGTGAATGCCATGTACGAATCTGGGCCCAAGTCGGATATTTTAGTCAATAGCAATAATAAGCAAAACGATAGATCAAGAAGAAGTAGAAACAATATGCACCAATCATATACAAGAACGTTTTGAAGACGAGAGCACAGAACCTGAAACCGTTTTTGAAACGTGGAACATGCAATAAAACTATCAAATACACGCAAAGCCCAGGGGGAGGATAATATCTACACCGAGATGCTTAAGCTATCGGATGACGAAAACTTCTTTTATTTCAACGGGGCAAACAAATGTTAATAATACCCATTGATCAGCTTAATGGGCCACGCACTCTAGATAATTCAAAGAAGCAAAAGGATATATACAAACTGCGACCCATATGTAAAACAAGAACAATTCGTTTTGTTTTATATACTATGAAAAGGCTTTTGACAGAGTTACTATACGAACAAGGAGTGAATCAAAATAACATCAATATCATATATAAAGTACAAAGAACAGTACAAACAGCATCGATAAGAATAGAAAACAAACAAACATTATTCTTATCAAAAGGGGTTTGAGGCAGGGCTGGATACCCTCTCCTTCTTTGTTCAACATATATTCAGAACAGATTTTCCAGTATTGTGGTTTGGCGAGGAGTAAGAAACCGTTATTTGGAAGAGGTAAACGTTTTGCAAAAGTGGGTGCTATAATTACTATTTAATAAAAATCGGTTATACCTTACTCGCGTCGTATATAATGACACCAAAATATGTGTGCTAATATGCATTAACCCAAAAAAAACTTGAAAATATCATACAACAGAATACCCGACAAAAAAATAATTGTGTAGTGGTCCCAGTGAACAAAAAACATCAAGCAAACATCATTTATGTTTCTGGTCCCCAAGTGTTTCTAACTACTTACTCAACAAACTTAAAGACGCTGTATATGATAAAAATTGCAAAGTAGAACTAAAGAACTTTTTGATAATTGCAGATAGATTAGAAATCGATAAAGCGTTTTCTAGCGCCATTATCGTTTTGTGACTAACATAAAATCAACTGTGACTGTGTTCTAGGTAGTACAAATGGCCTCCTGTCGTCATATTCAGTATGAACAAGTACTAACAAGCAATAAATATTACTTCAGTGCTGAACAGTTTGTTCATTAACATATGTATTATTATATCTATATATTATTATATTTTGGATGCTGGTTAACAAGTGATCTGAATCGAGAAACGGAAATTCGATCCCTCATCGAAAGTGACAGAAGGGCATTTCTTAGAATAAAGAGGCTTCTTACAATTCCCGCAAGATCAGTAAATATCAGATACCGATTTGTGAACGCTTATATATATATATATATATATATATATATATATATATATATATATATATATATATATATATATATATATATATATATATATATATATATATATATATATATATATATATATATATATATATATATATATATATATATATATGATGACACTATATTCCGGGATATCATCCGTTCGCTCGTTGAACTCCGACTGGAATCCTGCATCCGACTGGAATCCTGCATAAGGGATTTAACTATGCAATAGCTCCAAAAAGAGTACCCGTCGAAGAGATCGTTTCCAACGTCGAAGCAAGTCTTTCCACCATAGACGAACAAGATGCGGAGTTAATTAGGCAAGATGTCGCCAGAGTCTTAAGACAGTCAAAACCACCGCAACCAAACTTAAGCAGAGAAGAAATGCAAGCCTTAAGGAATCTAAACAAAAACGAAAACATTCTAATAATGCCAGCAGACAAAGGAAATGCCACTGTCGTCATGAATACGTCGGATTATAATGCAAAATTGGAGGATATATTGAACGACCCAATATACAAACTAGTCACCAGAGATCCCACGACATATTTGGAAAAAACAACTAAGTCCAAAATTCTCGATTCATCAATAAATGAGGATACAAAGAAGAAACTTATTCCGAGGGAAAAATCGAGTCGTTGCCCAAAATTCTACGGGCTCCCAAAGATCCATAAGGACGGGGTTCCCCTGCGTCCAATCGTAAGCGCCTTTAACTCACCATTATGCAAGCTGGAAAAACACCTGGCCAGTGCACTTCAGCCTATAGTGGAAAAGGCAGATTCCTATGTTAAAAACTCAGAACATTTCACTCAGATTTTAGGTTCTCTCAGGATGGACAAGGACGACATTATGGCAAGTTTCGATGTCAAATTCCTCTACCCGAGTATTCCAGTAGAAGAGGCACTCTTGCTTATAGAAGAAAACGAAGATCTTCCGCCATACATAATGGATCTGTCAAGACATTGCCTGAAAAACTCTTACTTTATGTACAGCGGGAAAATTTAAAGACAAATAGATGGAGCAGCAATGGGATCATCTCTCTCACCTGTGATTGCCAACCTCTTCATGATTTACTTCGAAAAGAAAGCAATAGAGAAGGCAAATCTAAAGCCAAAACTATGGACAAGATACGTTGATCACGTATTTGTTGTATGGCCTTTTGGCAAGGAGGAGCTTTTGAAATTCCTAGATCATCTGAATTCCATTCACCCAAGGATTCAATTTACAATAGAACTTGAAGAGGATAACAGTCTGCCCTTTCTAGATGTGCACATCAGAAGGACCGAAGATGGACACTTGGAACACACTGTCTATAGAAAACCAACACACACTAATAGATATCTGAACGCTAAATCTTATCACCACCCATCACAGATACAGGCAGTGGCAAATACATTAATTGCTCGGTCCTTCAGGCTCACAAACGAGAGGAACAGAGATAAAGAACTGAAGAAAATTAGTACCTGTCTTCGACAAAACGGATACCAAAGGCGCACCATCAGCAAGGCAATCAGTAAACAACAACAGCCGCAGCAGAGTGTGCAGGACGAGACCCAACGCAGATCGATCGCTGTCCTGCCATACATCAAGGGGGTTACTGACAAAATCGGCCGAATATTACGGAAACACGACATATCAACGGCATACACACCTGACCATACCATCGGAGCAATACTAAGAAACCCAAAACAAACGGCGGATGATATCCCGGAATATAGTGTCATCACATTTTTCCATCCGTGAATATATATATATATATATATATATATATATATATATATATATATATATATATATATATATATATATATAAATTCGATTGTATTGTATGAGTCCTGGATGCTCAAGGCCCACTCATTGCATGGCATTGCATAAGAAGAAGAAGAAGAATATCCCATAACTTCCCCTTTGGTTTAGCATATAATAGTCAGCTTTTTTCCGTTAACATGGTGGTTTAAAATTTTTCGGGAGACCAACATAAAAAAAAAAGAAAACAGGATTAGGATTAGGCTTTATTTTATTTACCGACTTTGACCACGACATAAAACAATACGAGTAGCGTTCAATTCAAAGCGCACACTTTACCAAACAAATTGGACAACGTGTGGTCCCAATTTGATGCGGATGCAATTTTTTAATCTGACGCGATGACGTCAGCAATAAGGAACGCGACAGAGAACGACTTACTACAGGACGAATTTTTAAATGAAAAGGTCGTAATAATACAGACTGATTGCGCGATCAAAGACCAGTTGTCGCCTAAAGTCGGTTAGGTGACAAAGAAAAAGGTCCACGTGCGGTGTTGAATCGGAGATGATTAAAGTATGCAGTGCTTGATTGGTTAGGTTGAATGGTGTTAAAGAAACGCTAGTTCGTGGTGCTGAAATTGGGTTTCGTTTGTATAGCTAAACCTGTTATTTTTATCACAATTTAAGTATAACAAACGCCACAAAAATATAATACAATATAATAATAATAAAAGACGTTATTGCAAGGAAATACAGATAGCGACCAGGCAGGCTGTCGCTAACCAAAGAAGACACCACAGTAACCGTACAATCTTAATTAATATTTAGTTAATTAATAATCAAACAGAAGTATAGAAAAAGGAAGAGGTGGAAGTGACATAACAAGACTGATATTTTCTTCTAAATGTTATAGAGAAACTACTTTGTGTTCAGTCATTGTTGTGATGCTGACCAATATCGTATCCAGAAAATACAAAATTCATGTTTGCGACTTTTTTATGGAATTCGCCGACAGGATCATGTGCAGTAGGTTTAGTTAGCTACATTTTGTTTTAAATTAATTAAGTATAAATCTCCTGAATATTTTTTAACAAAATCACTTTTCGTATAGATGTTCATGACTTCAAACTAAGAAAAAAAATTATATTGAGAATACCACAACATCGAAAAGAATTGTTTAAAAGATCATTATCGCCTTTTCGATTTAACAATGTCAACCAAAAGTTTTAAAGACCGGTATAAAAAATATCTTCTTGGAATTCAATAATTCTCCTCTATCCTACGACTTCTCTCTTTATTGAAAACCATATTTAATGATTAATGTATTATAAACTCTGCGTATCATATTTAGTTTTGTTTGTACTTTTTTTTGTTCTAAGGGTAATTTGGCTTATATTAAATTGAGGCTTGAACAATGTTTCTTTGTTTCTTTGTTTTGTTTATTTGTTTTTTAATTAAAATAATTACAATCTGGTTAATGTTAATGAAACTTACTTAACTCAAATCTTGCACACTGGGTTTACAAACGGCCTTTAAGAGCTATAGTTTACGGATGCACCTACATCGAAATTATTTTTGAAAGAATCAAAAACATGTTGAAGATTTTTTCAATGGCGGCACGAAACACCGAGATAGATGGCGAAAACTAACTCCGAGGCGCATCGGCAAATTAACCCCAATTGACATCTTTAATGGCATTGTTACAACGGAGATCATGAATGTGAGACACGCAATAAAAATTAAGAGTTTACCAATTTAACCGAATAAAAAATTCCATTGCTAAAAACACGAATTACGCACGATTCGACACGTATTATCTGAAGATCAGACGATATTTTACAAGATTCTGGTTAGAGAGGTAAATTAAATAATTAACATTTTTGAAACATAAACCCAAATATAATATTCCAACGAGCAATTCGTCGAATCAAATTCAATTCAAGCGGCAGTAACGTTTTCCTATACGGTGTGGTCGTTTTCGTGTGCAACTTATAGGACTTTTTTTACTAACTGCACAACTAAAATACTAATACTTTGTACAAAACTTCTGGATTCCTCCTGGGTAGGTTTTTGTTGAGTTGAACTTGCAATCATCCTGTTAAGGGGGATTATATTGAAAAATAATAAAAAATAAATAATAAAAAAAAAGAGCAGAGATAAGGTGTTCTAATTCTGGATTCAATGACTCGGGCTGAGATACTTTTACGGTCCTGTAAACGAGACAGTTGATAACCGATGATTTTTGGCCCAGATGGTGATGTGACAATGCATTAAAATATCGATCTGTGTGCGTAGGTTTTCTGTAAACACCCACGACATGACCCAATGTTAGGTCTGATTTTCTATTGATAAGAATATCTAACAATGGGAAGTTATTATTAGTTTCTACCAACGAAACATCCGAGAGTTTGCAGAAATCTATAACAGTCATCCGAGACGATCTTCATGGCCTTCATTTAGCTCCGCCCTCCTCAAACAATATATAAGCAAGTACAGAGTAAAATACGAGCCAGTTTCAGTCAAGCTCTGAAGGAGCCAACAGGATGATTGACGAAAGGAGGAAAAAAAGTTTTTTACATGTAAAACTTTAGTTCATCGAATAAGACTTGATGTTCGGTTTCGTGATTGGGTTCGACAACTGCTGATGAGTTTAGTTGTCTTAGTCTTAAGGTTCTCTCATGTTCTTTGAGCGTAGTTGGTGTTGTTCGTCCGGTCTCTCCAAAAGCATGCTTTGTCGCATATTCATGGAATGCTGTAAACTTCTGGTACATCAAACGAAATTTTGTCTTTGACCTATCGAAGAAATTGGAGATTTCTGGACAGGTGATAAATCTTTTGATACGTGGTGGCAAGAATTGCGTTACTTTCGGACTCATTGTTTTTCGAAGTGTATTTTGTGATGGAACGCTTAATATCTCTAATGTGGAAATTATTAGAGAGAAGAGCAGATGTGAATTCTGATGATGATGATGATTCTGTGAATCATTTTATTCCACTTTAAAAATTCGTAAAATGAAAACACCAACCAGTACGGACTAACCAGCATCTCAAAGAATTGCTGAGAAACCACCCATTGTTCACCAAACTTTAAAGAATTGTCAAGAGTTAAAATGAGTTTAATTTGGATATTTAAATACAGTGAACGGCTAAAATATGGAACAAATTCGTTTAAAAAACCGACATTGGTTTTCTTGCAGTAAATAGTCGAAGTCAAGTCTAGTCAAGTTTATTTAAAAAAAAAATCGAATTGTGTGCGTCAAATGTAATGAACTTGCCTTATTTCTTATCTAATTTTATTGAAATCATCCAAATTTTGTAGTTTTTCCTTGCACACTTTTGGTTTTAAATATCCCCAGAGGAAAAAATCCAATGGAGTAATATCTGAAGATCTTGCAGGCCATTCTATTGATCCCTTTCTATCAATCCACTGTCCGTGTGAATTGTGTTGGTTAACGGTTATTATGATCGAGAGCGGGTCCTTTTTGTCAAGATCTGACTTGTGACGTAATTGATGAAATTATGTTGTCTTTTGTTTTTATTTTTTTGAAAAATAAAGGATAATATTATTGTTATTATTATTAGAAGCTACTTCAGAAGCTCTAATGATATGTTTAATCTTGAGTTCTCGTTCTGTAAATAAAAATTAAAATTACAATTTTTTGGGCTTAATTTAGATTCACTTCCTTTTCTGACATTGGTGACTTTTCTGTTAATGTCAAAATTAAATTTCTGTAGAGTATGCTACTTGAATTATGCGTGAAATTTGGCACACGACACACACGAAAATGGACTTCAAAAAATGTTCCATTTAAAACAAAGAACTATCGAAATCTACAATATTTTCTGATTATTGCAAAAAAAATCCAGCCTTTTTAATTTGTTTTATTTATATGTTGTTTCCGTAAAAAAAAAATCTCCTCTAAATACTTGTTTAATTGTAGCTTGGTGGTTTATAAAAATAACATAACCTTGTTTTTGGATTGACGCAACAAATTCTATTTCGCGAATAAATGTGAAAATGATAAATGAAAAAAAAAGTTTCATTCGACCTTTTTTGAACACTCCTAGATAAGTTCAGATGCCGATATTAAGAATTCCACTTCCGGTCGAGTTCGTTATCCTTGCGACGTACTTTGCGTTGATATTTTGTTACAACTAGACAACCGGCGACGCAAAATTTCACTCGAAGCGCGCGTGGGTTCGTCGCAGATTATCTCGCGTTAAAATAATACCGTTTTCGACGTCACAGCTCTTAAAAAGTCCACGATATTTCACGTGCGTTATTTACCCCATCTGTGCGGCATCGTTGCATTTATCGTCGGTACGGATCACATTTTCATTTTAGTAGCGTCACGCAATTAATAACCGCACTACAGTTTCCGATTTTACGGGCTAGTAATAAATATATTAGCGTGCGATAACGAATGTCATGTTAAAAGATAAGAAATTAACTGGATGTTTAACTCGGAAAAATTGCGTTAAATGCCACCGGACTGACCGTCAAAACAAGCCGCATAAAAATCGTAAACAGATGTCCGCTTGTTTACGAACCCTTTTGGATCTTAATTGTACAGTTATATTTTACCTGTGCTACGTCATTCATAAAGAGAAGAATAAAATTTGAATTAAATATTGAACATTAACTGTGATTAACGCGTATATAAATTTGTATTAACAATCATTTCAGTGATAGTGTAGAACTCGTACGTACATTTGATAAAGATATCTGTTATAGTCGGTAAATCATGACCAGAAATATTGTGTTTTTACAACCGACCCAGTGATTAAATTTGCCTATTGTTTATTATTGTTTAAAACCAAAGCCTCTTCGAAAACTCCCTGCCTAGCCTGCCATTACCCGTAACCATTCCAGGACCGTCCTAGGAATTTATCTACCTATACTAACAAGATTGCTTTCGAAAAATCGTCGCTGGACGGGGCAAGTTCGTAGCGCGTAGCGCGAAACAGCATTTTTATTATAAAAGGAAAGAACTTTGCGCTTTCGTGCGGCAAAGGGACGCAATGTTTTTCTATCTTGCTCCTACGGACCACTATGCAACTTTCGCAAAATCGATTTAATTTAATTGTGCATGCACCCTGTATAAAGTGTCCTTAGCATCTCGTCGAATTTGAACAGATTTTTTGCTAATAAACGACACACCATGTACGTGATCCAGACAACGTTCGAAGTAGAGGTTATAGCCCTGGACCTTCCAAAATTTCCTGGTCCAAGAAATGTTGGATTTTGATTCCATATTGGACGTCAAAACAAACTTTGTTTTGTCAAAATGGCAGCCCATATAAAGTGCAATTTTCAAGCCATATAATGAAACATGAAATAAATATTTATTTTCTTAAAAGACTTTTAAAAAATATTTTTACTGGCAATGACATAGTTTTGACGCAAATTGTAGTTTTTCAGGCCACAGGGCGTCGGCGCGTTCTAGTCGACTGGCGCGAAACGTCGCCAGATCTGAATCCGTGCGAATTTTGTTGCATTTGGAGCGTTCGAGTCGAAATTAAGACTAAACGGTGGGTTATTCCCGCTTTTTCTACGTTTACGTGGTAATTTTACCTTTTCCCGTGACGGTTTTCCTCGCCAGTTCGGATTTGTCCTCGAAATCCAGCGGATCTTTATCGAGTTTGTATTTGGCAACGCCGCCTCGCGTCCCGCGCTCCTCGCTCCCGAACGACGCTTTCCGTTTCCTACCCTTCTCTTCGATTTTCAGTACGTTCCATCCCAAATACTCGTCGCCGTTTTCCATGCTACAATCGCTCGGTAAATTCCACGAATCTTTCGAACTAGACGACGAGCTCTCGTTCAACAGGACATCCGAATTGCCGTAAAGTTTATAATCCATAATAGGACGTAAAAAAAAAGCTATTCGATTTTTGTTATCTCTCTCTACAAGAAAAGCCCTATACAACGTCTACGACAAAAAAAAAAACGCTACGGAGGAAGGGTCCTCAAAAATCAGTCCGGGATATGGTTGCGGAAAAAGGCACTGCTTAGAACATCACGAAAAACGAATTGTACAATTTTTTTATTCCCGTGGTTTCCCTTTGACGCCGGTTCTGCAGGAAACTGTTGTCGATGTTTAACATTTTAGCTTGCAAGGAGCAAGATTCAATATCCATTTATCACAACGACGACGTTGTCCTGACCCTATCACGCACGCGAAACTTGATCGCAACTGGGCGGTTTGGGACCACAGCCGTTTTGGCGAAACGCTTTCGTCGAAAAGAAGAAGAAGCACTACCGACCCTATCGCAAAAACGGACTAATACATGACAAACTAGGGATAATTAATTTTCCACCCCCCACGCAATTGCGGCACTGGTTTGACTCTGGACGCAACGAAGCACCAAAACCGACTGACAAAATATTTAAACTGCCTTCTATCAACAGACGAATTACTTAAATTAATCTCAATTTACACAATGAAACGACTAGGATACTTGGCGAAATCTAATGAGCGGAGCAAGGCGTCCCGCCGATGGTTTTAAAAATGGCGGACGTGGAAATTAGATCGGAAGAAAACGCTTTAAATTAGGCCTCTCTTTTTCTGCCGTTTCGGTATGAAGAATCCAGAATTTCGGGTCAACAGGAAAGGGTCAGTTGTGGAAAGTTTCAATTGTAGCGCGTTGCGGTCTCCTGCGTCTTCGTTGAAGGTCGAATACATTCAGTATCTGAAAATTACAAAAAAAAACTATAGAGTTGCCCTGCAAAAATCGTACCGAGTGTGGAGGGCGGAAATGGATATTTAAAATTTGTGGGCTATGTCCAGAACAGTGTAGTCATAGAATGGGAAATTCTAACTGCTAACTGCAGAAACTGGCACAGTTTACAGTGAGTAAGAAACAGCAACCGTAGTTGGCAAATACACGACAAATAAAAATAACATACGAGGGTTACTTTTTATATTTCGGGATTTGTAACAAAAAACTATAAGCTACCAACATGATCAATACACTTTTGCATTCGATAAAACCAATCATCAAAGCACTTTTCCCACATCGAGTCGGGCACCGCCAAAACATGTTTTTAAACGCATCAATCGCTTCTTCTGGTGTCAAAAATCGTTGTCCACGTAATTTATTATTGATGTATTCAGGACTATATGGTGGATGGCTCATCAAATTAACGTTTTTTAATGCTCAAAAAGTTCTTTGTTTGCACTGATACTGGTGCGTGAATTGCAGCACTGGTTTTATCTGTGAAACAAAAACTTTGCTATTGCAGGTCTAGACAAGTCAGCGCATGTGGAATAAATATCCAACAATTAGGGTGTGCTTTAGTATTAGTTTGTGCCTTGTGCAGTGAACGTTACAATTCGTAAAATATGGCATTTCCGACGTATTTGACTCGTGATCGTGATGGATGAGGACAATAACAATGAAAGTCGTTACGTTATCTTATGAATTGTAGCATTCCATTCCTTGAAAATTTATGCTAAAAATAACGTGAAAAAAGATCTACAGAACATATTGACTGACCAAGAAGATATGAACGATAACATAAATCTACAAGAGTTTGGGAAACCAACTGACATAGTTGGAACTTTCGAGTGATACAGCTATCCTTCAACAGTCCTGCAATTCATCAACTATTGAAACTGCATGGGACTCATCAGATGATGAAACCCTGGAATTCAAAAGAAGACGTATGCTTTCTGCAAACGCTAAGCTTGCTTCTACTGTCAAATGGAGGAAAGGTCAGATTGAGTACACTCGTACACCTATATCCGATGAATTTAGATCAAGTGAGGAACTAAAAAATAGGCTTTCTGGAAAAACTCCGCTTGAAATATATTTTATGTTTTTTGATGACGAAGTGGTTGATTTGATTTTAAATCTTACGGTGCTTTGCGACTTTTAAAAACTGATAAAACAATTACTCAAAGAAATCTTGCACCTGCCATAGATGAAGTGCGTAATCAAGGTCAGCTCGTTATTGTACATGCTAATAAAGCCCGAAGGAGATGTAGAATCTGCAACAGCCAAACAATTTACAAGCTACATTTAGTTGTTTTCTGTAGAATTTGAACTTTCTTTTGTATATTTGTGTATAAATTATATGTTACATCTTATGTGCCCCGAAATATTATTATTATTATTATTATGTTTTTTTCCCAGTGGTTCGTCTACGCACCAGTTTTTTTTTGTATCTTTCGAGTTTTTTCTTGACACATGTAATGTATTCTTCAATGCAACAAAATAAATAATTTCAGAGCAAAAAAGTTTTTTTTATTTTTTTTATGCTTCGGATAATATGGGTTATCTCCAAAATTCGAATTAAGTTGTAAATGCGAAAATGCTCCCGAATAAGTTCCATTTTTGACGGTCTCAATTTTTTTAATTTGTCATAAAAAACACGCCAAAACCTAACTGAGTAAACCTAAGTAAGCAGGACTAGTTTAAGAAAATCCCGAAATATAAAAGGCAGCCCTTGTATAATGTAAATAAATCGGATTTAACGCAATTATGGAGCCAACTAACAGACTTAAACGCTGTTTAATACAAATTTCATCGAGAACTGCGGTACTAAGATTCGCAAAATTTCTTGAAAAAAATTATAAACCAACAAATTAAAAATCATTTACTTCCCTCCAAGCACTCAGGATTTGGAAAAGGGTATAGCTGCAAGTCAGCACAATTTTCTAAGATTATTCAAAGCCGTTCTATTGTCAACTGCACTATTTAGATTTTCAAGTGCCGCAGTCTCTTCTATGCTTAGTTAGTGTACTGACCGCTTTCGCAGTACAGGGTTCCCAAGGCTCGATACTAGGGCCTTTCCTTTTAATATCTATACGTGGAAAATTCATTCCTATGCTGACGATACCCAAATAAATGCTACCAATTAACATTAGCAGGTAAGTCATTTATGAAAAAATACCTACCGCAGATAAGATTTTAATGGAACCTGATCACGATGATAACTAGAAAACTTTTACAGGTATTTTAAAAAACTTTCCTGGAAATCGACGAAAATACTTGAGCACTATAAAACAATACCGATGAGATTTGGAGTAATGAAGGTTATACAGGTTGATGTAAAGTAAGTGTTCATAATAACATTGTTACGATTAGAGATACAAAGTAGGTTAAATTAGCAAACTAGTAGCATTTTTTTCACTGACTACGATGATGAATTCAGAAAAACAATTGAATGTAGGGTTTTAGGGCTTTTTAAATGGAACACCCTGTAAATTTTTTACTGTACCGTTCGTAAACCACCAACAGAAAACAAAAAAGATCATATCATGTCTCGTCTGAACTCGGCTTGAACTGGTACTCGGCTGGTTTGTCGCTGCTTTATATGTCGACTGGTTTGTGCTGGTTGACTGCGCAAGCGTACAGCTCCTTGTATTCCTTACATGTTGGGCTATTGAAGAAGTTCTTTCGTCTTTGGTTACAGCGTTGCGGTGTTCCTCTCTTCGTACCTGTATCCTTCTGTTTGTCTGGCCAATGTAGCTCTCGTCACAGTCCTTGCAGGGTATTTCATACACTCCTTGGTCCTCCAGTGGAATTTTTGTTTTCGCTGATGGAATTACATTGACAATTTTCTTGTCTGAATTGAAGATTGTTGCTATTCTGTTTTTCTTAAGGACTCTGCTTATTTTATCTGTTGCTCCTTTGACATAAAGCAGGAGAGCTTTGGCTATAGGTTTGTCTTCTTCTTCTTTTTCTTGGGTTTTAGTGGGCGGTGGTCTTAGAGCTTTCTTTATATTGTACTCGGAGAAGCCATTCTGTCTCAAGGCCGCCTGTACAGCTTTTGTTTCTTCCTCTTTGTGGTCCTCGTCTGCCAGTGTTTCTGATCTTGTGATCAATGTTTTGATAACTTATTGTAATTGCGCTCAAGTAAAACAATAAAAGCAAAAAGCAACCTCTTTTGTTCTGTCGGTGATCACCAACGTTATAGTAAAAAATATACAGTACAGTACGTTTTCCTCATTTTTTTCCTAAACCCTACATTCAATTGGTTTTCTGTTTTGACCATCGTAATCAGTGGAAAAATTGCTATTAGTCTGCTCCTTTAACCGACTTTGTAGCCTCTACTCATAACAAAGTAACCAATGATGAACCCTTAATTTAGATCATCCGGTATAGTAATACCCAAAATGATCGCACCTAATATGTACCCAACTTTTATTGTTAAAATAAAACTTTTTCGTTGTTACGAGATCCCTCGAGTGACCAATTTAGACCACCAGTGCTTTCTTTACGGTATTTATTATGAAGCAATGATATCGATCAATGTGTGTGGCCAGAAAAACTTGACATCGTTGATTCTAAACTAAACTAAAGATAAATTGATAATACAGGAACTTATGAAGCAACCATGAAAAAAATTTTGAGAAGATCCATTCAACATGCAATGACCGAAATTTAAAATCTCGGGCAATAAATACCCATAAAAATTTGAGCAATAAGTACAGATATAATTAGAAAACTAGTTGTTAACGATGTAAATTTTGTTGTAAATAAATTAGCATAAATTACTGAACAGTTTTGTTATAATAAATATTAGTTCTTCAAAATAAGTTCAGAGTATTTACCTATTACAAGTGTAACCAATCATAACAAACCAAGACAAATGCGCAGCCAGCAGTGTCAAGAACTTGATTACGTGAATGGGGTAGAAACCATATCAATTTTATTATTAAAATACCTGCCTCTTATATTTCAAATTCGACATTTTTAAAATTAAACTGTTAAACAGTTGCTTTATATGTTAAAGACTATATCGACTATACCATGACCGGATATGTTGGATTTTTTTTTAAATTGTTGGCCCAAACAATTCACACCATTTATTAACATGAATAATTATTTAAATTTGAATGCACGTAAGTATAAAATTGCAACCTGTTTAAAGAAATCATTATGTGAATTATGTGTGAAATTGGATACCTAGGCGGCAATATTTTTGAAAATATATTTTTCTACTCCCTATTCTACTTTAGTCACGGGTTCAATAAAACCCATCAAATGGAGATGTAGCAAATTAATGGTTTCTCTTAGGTTAGGTCTGACTTAACTAAAACAAGCAAAACAACTACATAATTAATTTAATTATACACCAACAAAACAAATTCTGTTTTATGTACTTTATTTGGCGTAAATCTTTTTCTACTGTCAAGTCACGTTATCTAAGCTTTTACATTCATTTCCTAAAAGATTACCAAACACTTCATAATGATGATTTAAATCCTTGACTGTGTGAAGTTTACAAAGAGTTTCTAAGGCACCGTTAGATGAAGTCACCCCGTAGAATACTCGATTCACTCTACTATGGATCAGAGCCATGGCACACATTACACAGGGTTCGTGAGTTAGATAAACATAGTATCCTGTACATAAATAGGGACCGCTATCAGGATCACTACACTTTGCCACACCGATCGATAAATTACCAAAGTCTTCACGAATTGCGCCTAATATAGCCTTCGGAATACCACTCGTGTTTGACTCGTACAAATCGGTATGCCACACGCCACCATTTTGACTTCTGGCGACATTATCTATAGCCACCATAGCAGCGTGTCGGCATGGCCCTTCACTCGCTCTGCTACATCCGACCGCTACAACTGAATCAGACTTGGGATCTACCACTACAGCGCCGACTTTTTTTTCGTCCAAAGAGGAAAACGTCGCCACTCTAATAGCGACCCGCATGTACTTTTCATGTTGATTCAATTCGCTGCTTGTAAATAAAGTGTTTGTACAAAGTTTTTCCAAATATTTATCGGGATGGAAATTGCAGGGCCATAGCTTATTGGCCGCTAAATACTGCTTTCTCGTTTTGGGAGGTCCCTTGCCTACTTTTACTACCCTGGTCGCATCGCAATTTAATAGTTTGGCATCGAAACCCACGCTGTTGAGCAGGTCGATTATCTGTAGATTTTGGACAGCGCTTACGGGACATAATATAACCTCTTTGCCTTTCACTCGTTTTAAATGTAACAGTGTGGAAAGTGGCAAATATATGTTGAGGTCTGTAATGACTTTGGAGATGGTTTTCGCTTCTATTATAGTTGACACATAGACTTCTACTAACGGAATATCTTCCAGAAGATCATCGGGCAAAACAGGGTACATAACATTCGAGCGACTTGTTGTTGGTTCCTCCAGTTTAATACGTTTTGGTGCGTGCATTTCCATCTTCATCCGTCCACCTAATGTATAGTGAAAGTTACAAACCAGCCTTTTGGATTGTCTTCAATGAAAATTCATTTCCACATTCCGTTGAAAAGATTAACATTTAAACGCAACTCTCTTATAATGATGATCATCATTGCATTTCTTATTAAAACTACAAAGCTAAACTGTTTTTATAATAAAATTTAACACTCTGTATGTTGAAACCTGTTTAGTTATGTTTGAAATTCATAATATGCAATTAAATTCGTCTTTAATTTAACTGACGCTGTTAATTCTAACCGTTTCGGGTAAGCATAATTAAGTAATAAACAAATATTTCCAAAAAGAAAACAATTTTAAAGTGCGTGATGATTTATCAGAAACATTGGCTCTATCAGTTCTTTACGGCAAAAATTGTTTTATTAATCTCATTGAAACATTTACATATAACGACGGGCTATATAATAAAGCCGATTAAAATACTTCCTGGTTGATTTCTTAAAATAATTATCACGCACTTCACACTAATTAGCACAAAAACTTTGGTACCCGCAGCTTTCTAGAATTAGCGGTATGCCAGCTTATCTTAATCGAATTTTTTATTACGCGGATATTTATTAAAGAAATTATCATACCTGAATGAAACACTAGCAATTAAATGTGTAACACACCTCCACTTTTTAAACATTCTAGATCACATTTAATATCCAGCGGCACCCATACGACGAGTCTAAATCGACAATGACAAACCGATTTCAAACCTTCTAATTAAAATTATTGTAAAAACGTGCCGTTTGGCGATAGTTAAAAAATCAAATCGAAAAAGATACTAATCGCAGAAACTTCTAATTGACACATTCACATAACCAAGATTTTCCAGGCAGGTTCTTCTCAAGGTCGACAACAACCACAGAACGCACGCGGGTTAGTACTAATCATAACTTCTCCCCCAAGTAGTTTTATATTAATGTTGACAATTCTATTGTTATTTGTACATTACAGTATAATTGCTGCTATTTTTTTGTTATACTTTTTATACAATTGTCGTGTGATGAAGTTATCATAATTTTGAAAGGTCAACAACTTATCATAAAATAAGCATCTTTTTACATTTTATTGGTTTAAAAGGCTAGTACTAGTTCTTAAGCCCCTTAAATTTTTAATAAAAAATGTTTAACTTGAATTAAAAAATACCATTTTACCATTGAAGTGATTTAACCTTCACGTCTGAACTAATCAAAGGTAACTTTAACAGTCTGTGCTTTTCAACTGTTGCCAAATCGGCCTATAGCCTAGACAACTGTATTAAAAAATATTTTGTTATAGGTAGTTAAGGTCATGGGAGATTACTTTAATTCATACAGCGCAAGGTAAAGTTGACCAATTTAATGTTATCAGTTGGTTTATGAAATGAATAAAGAACACGTAAAATAAAATGTATTCCTTTTATTATATCAGTCACATTTAGAGTATTTACTACTTACAGTAAAAAAATTTAATAAAATATTTGGGTACCTTACAGAAAAAGGCCGAGTAAGTTTTATTTTATTAGGTCATCCAATAGTTCTAAATGTAACACTAAATTTCCGCCCACATCAGCTCAGCCAACAATTTGATACACCACAAAAAAAAATCCGATTATGTGCGATACAAAAAGTGCAAGGCGCTTGTTCCCATCAACAAATTTTGTGGATTGATGGTTTTTCCATCATTATAGAAAGCGTAAAATTGCGATGGGCAGTTTACGTGAGGCCATACATTCATAAAGGAGGATTGGGAAAATTTGACTCGAAAACTAATCATATTTTTGTTTGTGTTTGCTGCTCAGAAGACCAATCTTCAAACTTTTTGTTGACTAGTTAAATTATTGCAATATGTTGGCCGTAACTTAACCTTTGTTTTTCATAATACAAGCCTTTTCGAGTCAATTCTGCCCCATATATATCCAAAGCAGTAACAGGAGTACTAAGTATGTCCGTTAAAGCTTTTAAAATTATATTGTGTGTATTTAAAATATGTATTGCTCATTTTACTGTAATACAAAATACTTATGTACAAATAAATAAACGGTATTTTTACAAAATCATTATGTACAAATTTTAAAACTATTTTAATAGTACACAGTTTACCAAACGTTTATAATAAATAGTATCTGAAATAAATATACATCTTTTTCAAATAAAATTGCTTTAATCCTAAATTATTATAATAGCTGCACACCTTAATTTAAGACAAAACCCTTTTCGATAACAGGAGAAAATTAATAATTACCTTTAAAGTTTTTGAAAAAGTATTGATATAAATATTAAATTAAATATTATTGGTCCGTGGTGTATAAAGAAACACAAACCTGAAATTAGCAAAATTGGTCCTGTGAAGAAGTGTGTACAGGGTGTCCCATTATAAATCACCAAATGGATAACTTCGTTAATATTGATCCTACGATTAGTTTTAGGTTACCAAAGTTGGAGCATTTATCCTAAACCTTCCGTGTAATAAAATATGTATGAGTTGTTAGGGTTATTTTTGACAGATTTTGAAATATCACGCATTTTATCTAACATTGAAAGTGAATAACAATTGTTTCAAAAATCAAATTAGCCATGGTAGCTGTTGTCATGGAAACTGGCGTAGTTAGCTGTCATTATATATTAAAACGTAACCAAAATCAGGCTACTGCTCCCAGGATAATAAAAAAACATTTTATAACACACAAAAGGGCAAGTTTCTTGTAATTTTAATGAAGAACTTGATTCTTGTTATTTTGAAGGTAGTATATTAAAATTAACGCTTATAAGTTTTCAAAAGTTCAACATCTTACAGATGAAGACAAAGGGAGGCGTCTTGAGTTTTGCCGCATTATTTAAGAACGAATTCAAGAATCACCTAATTTTATTCACAAGTAACCGTTTACAGGTAAGTCCTCATTTAATACTGTCTCATTGTCTAATTTAAAAACCACACATTTGTGGACCAGCGAAAACCCCTACGAAATTTTGCCAATTAAAAAATCTGGTCGCCCATCTATAGGAGTTTGGTGCGGAATTATTTTCTCCAGACTTCTGGGACCACTTTTTTCCAAGCATCAATATTTCGATTTCCTTCGATTTAGAGTACAAGAATATATCGAAGAGTTACCTATTGCTGTGTTTCCAAATATATGACAACAGGACGAGGTGCCATATCACAATGTAAGAGAGGTAAGAGAGTGTTTGCAAAATAAATACCATATCTGTATAGTAAAAAATGGTGTAATACTCGGACCTCCGAACAGTACAAATCTTACTCCCCTTGACACCTTTTTATGGGGATTCCTAAAATCGAGAGTATATAGAAGAAGACCGGTAACAATTCTGGAAATACAAAATAGAATACGTGTATTGGAATGAAAATATAATACCAATATTACCCAATAGAAAATAATACAGCATAAACTCTTTTGCTATATATAAAGAATCAACTAATTTAGTTTTTATGGCTAATATGATTTTTGAAACAATATCATCATCATCAAAATCTATCAAAAATATCCCTCATATATATTTGAAATCGGGAGAAAAAATGCAATCGATTGCAATATTCAAATACAAAGTATTCAATTAAAAAAAATGTCCACCTGTCAACATTTGACATCTAACATTTTTATTTTATATTTTTGATTGCAGACTCGGGAGGTTTAGGACAAATGTTCCAACTTTAGCAAATTAAACTTCATCGAATATTGACAAAGTTATCCTTTTAGTAATTTATAGTGGGACACCCTGTACAATTAACTGCACAGTTGTATCGCTGAGGTGTATTTAAAGTGCTCTAAAAATATAACACAATCAAAAAATTGCCGACCATAACAGTCGCTAGAATGTCACGAAAAGTAGAACTGTAATTATAAATAATGAAATATAACTTTAAAACCGTTTTCGTGCATTCTCGCGGATTAAATAATTAAATAATTCAACCGTATCTATGACAAGAAATATTAGGAAAGCAATGAAAACTATCTAAAACGTAATTTTCACAACTGTCAATCAAACTACTATACCATCTCGGCGGGTATTGGCATGTCCGAAACATATTTTCCTTAGAATACGAAAATTTAATTTTCACTTTGGGACACAATTGGATTTTTCGCGAAATAATACCTATTTTGTACTAAGGGTTTCGCAAGCTGGCTATTTTTTTTTTTTTGCCGACAATACTAATACAATGTGTTGCATGGTGGTGTTAAAAATTCATCCTGTGCGTTGAAATATTTCTAAGACCGTGCACGAACCGTTGGCAGTTCAAATTTGTTGGAACATTAAAGCACCACATCGTATACTATCGAGAAAATCCACCAACCCTGCGAGTGCCCCAAATTTGAGATCCACAATAAATTAACTGCATATAAAATGTAATGCAACGTTGTCCGCTACGTTTTATATATATATATATATTATATAAAAATATGTCGTATCAAAACCTAAAACGAGTAGTGCCGATTTACTTGCGTCCAAACGTTAGTTTAAAAAATACCAACAACAAACACGGGTTTAAAATCAGTCTTGGTAATATGCACTATAGAGAGAGAGTGAGAGAGTGTTCCGTCTTTTGACGTCCGACTTAGCACTCGAATTCTTTCGCGGTGATGGCGTTCAACGTCAGCATTAGGCCCTCGAGGTTGGCCATTTCCTGGTTGAGTTCCTCGGTCGAATGGGATGGTTGCAACCGTTGGACTTCCTCCGCCGTATGTGGCGGAGGGTTCGAGGCACTGATTCTGGATGGGGGTGTGCTTGTTATGGTACTGGAACTGCCCGTCGGCGGTTTTTTGTAAGGCGACGACGTGGGCCGTACTGTAACTAACAAACCGTTCCGAGTTTGGTAATTCTGCACTTTACAGACGAATAGAATAGAATAGAATGGAACTTTTACATGTTAAGGTTTCGCCATCATGGTATATGTTAATAAATCGCAAATGTCACAGGTAAATATCATTGGCCCCCCCTGTACATTTTATAGCAAAGTTGTAATATAACTTTTTGAATAGACCACAATGATTAACTGATGTGACACTGAAATTTGTGGGGATCCAAATGAAATTTCAAATCATTTTAATGAATATATGTTGAACATTGTGCCTGAATTATTAGAAAACCGAGGACAAAAGGCCTTTTCCAATGAATTACGCCTAAATTCCCAGTCCACACTTCTAAGACCGCTAATACCAGATAAAATTTATCATTTTGACAAATTAAAAATGAGCGTACCAGTGGAATAGAGGAGATTCCTACTAGTATAAAAAATTCTGTTCCGTATGTGATTAAAGTGTAGTGTCTTTTGATTAATGATTCCTTTAAAAATGGCGTTTCCCAGACCAACTTAATAAAGCTTTAATAAATCCGCTCTATAAAAAGGGAGACCCGAGGTGTATGCTTAGATCTTTCTAGAGCATAGGAAAAAATTTACTTATACGGTGGAAGAAGTAATGTGGTAAAATTGGGAAGACAACAACAAGTAAAAACAACCAAAAATGGTAATAATCTTTCGAATATTAATGAAAATAGTCTGGGCATCGGCCCAATTTTATTTTATTTTTGTGAATGACTTATATTTTGTAACGAAGTCGGAAGAAACTAACCAACCTGCTTGTAAGGTGGAAATAATCTCACAGAGTCCCCTGCCTCGGTGAGGCAACAATACTTTTGCAAGGGCTTATGACTGGTTTCTATGAAATAAATTGATATTAAACAAAGAACATACAAATTTAATATTATTTTTAGAACTAATAGAATAGAATAGAATAGGCACTAGGATAGGTAAAGAATTCTAAACTCTTAGGTTTACAATTTAACCAGTTTCTTGATTGGTCTGAACATATTTATTATTTGCTAAATAAATTAAATTCAGTTTGTTATGGAATTAGATTTATTGCAAACTATATGAATTTAAAAACTTTAAAAAATATCTATTTTTTCTGTCACGCAAGAGATATGGAATTATTTTTCGAGAGGGGTGGGGTAGTGTGGTCAACTACAGAAAATGTTTGTGGTTCAAAAGAGGACTCTTTTATTTAGTTAGTTATTTCACAGATATAATACCAGAACCATAAATGTACATCACCCAAATCACCATTTGACCTTAACTGCAAGAAGTCTTTCTTACATGTGCCTGAGATTTTATAATAAAAGTGCACTATAAAAAAAAGTTACTGACAGATTTAGAACCTTACTCTCTAGATGACTTTTTTGTAGTCTTTAATTACAGGCTACTCACATTATTAGCAATTAATTTTTTAGAAGAAATATATTAAATTTTTTAACTCTCGAACTTCACTTTTTTAGTTTTTTTGTGTAATTATTCGTTACTTTGTTCAGAAATTAATAAAAAGTTACTTTATTTTGAAGCTTAAGAAGAATAATTTTACTTTTTGGAAAAATACAAAGTAATGACAAAAGTGGCACTTATTTCATTTGGACTAGTTTATTTATAATATAATTATGAACATTTTATTTTGTTCCATTATAATCTTAGAATTAAATTGTTACATTATAATCTTACACCAAAAATACTTCAAAATTCACTTTTTTAGGTTTTTATTTTTATAATTATTCTTTGCTTACTTCAGAAATTTAGAAACATTTATTTTATTTTAGAGGTTAATATTTTGTAGTTTTAAGAAGAATAAATTTTACTTATCGGAAAAATACAAATTACAGAAGTGTTCCTTCTTTCATTTTAACTAGTTTATTTATAATCTAATTATGAATATTTTTATATTGTTGAAATTAAGTTTTTTCGTTTTTTCTTTTATTTTTTACTTTGTTCAGAAATTTAGAAACATCTATTTTATTTTAAAGGTTAATGTTTTGTTGTTTTAAGAACAATAAATTTTGTTTTCTTAAAAAATACAAATTACAGAAGTGGCCCCTATTTCATTTTGACCAGTTTATTTATAATATAACTATAAACATTTTTATATTGTTACATTATAATCTTACATGCTAATGATATTTGGGCAATACTCCCCGCCGCACTAGTCCCTTGCCTAAATGCCTATATTTGCATTGAATGACTTGTGCGGGGTCTCTTCTGGTGGGATATGTATGGATTGAAATGAGCAAAATTTAAGTGATAAAAAAGAATCACATAATTAAACACATCAGTTCAATAACTCCAATCAGAATGAAAAGATAAAGGATAAAAAAAATCTCGATAAATGGGACATATTGCGCTATTGGGGTTTAAAGAAACATTTTCCGGCGTAATTTAAACGGAACTGAGCCTCTATACACCGTGATAAATATAAATTTAATTCTCACCAATATGTTTTGGCTGGGGAGTGCCCGGTGCGGTTACGGGGGGAGGTGCGGGGACGGTGAAGCTCTTAAGAGGGTGACCTTGAGCCTGTATCCTTTTCCCGGCTTGTGATTCGGCGAGGACACTTAGACCAGGCGCGTAAGTGCTGCCTGGCGGAGGTTGTGGTCTAAAGTAAAACAATAACAAAATTCAATGCTGAAAAATCTAGATATACAAGCTACCAATGTAAAATATTTTATTTATTATACATACATATTATGCATAGTAGCCGCCTTTAACAATAAAGTATTAACAATATTAACTCCTCGAATGTTTAAAATTCTGAAGGATAATTTTATTTGCCTGAAAGATATGTACACCAAAATAATAGCCACAATTCATAAAAATCACATTATCTTGACATATGGTTATTTGTTAGTTAGGGAATGCCCTCTTGTTCAATTACTTTACATTTTATGACGAAATGGAGTAAATCCCGTAATGTTCTCCTCAAATTCAATATACAATAATCGATCAATTATTAATATGACGTTCCATGACTTATTAATACAAATGCCATTGTTTGGACTGTTTAAGAAAACTTCCACAGGTTAATGTAATACTTTTTATAAAACTTCTGGATTGCTCCTGCGTCGATAGCTAGCTTGTTCGAGTTAACAAAAACCGACACAGGAAGCATCCAGAAATTTTATAAAAAGTAGGAACTGTTGTGTAATTAAGTTTCACTTTATTTATTGCTTGAAATGTCTCCCACCGATTTCAATACACGCTCTAACAGGGTCTTAAAAAAAAAGGCTTCTCTTATCTTCTGTCCTCTTTTTGTGTGGGGGGAGTTTTATGCACCTGCTGTTTGACATATCCTCGCATCTCTGTTAGATGAGGAGATCTAGGTGGCAGTCTAATCAGACCACATAAACTATTTAAGTAGTTCGTATAACTGAATGTACATGGTGTGCAGGAGCTGCATCTTGAAGGAACCACGTTCTCTGCGTCGCTTAAGATATTTTGCAACCTCTGCTCTAAAATGTCAAAGTAAACTTTCCCGTTTAATGTAATGAGGTCTCACAAGGTTATTTCGTATTATACCACCCCAAACATTTAAAGAGAATTTTTACCGACTGCGTGTCATCATAAGAGTGAAAATTATGAATATTAACAGAATCGTTTTTAGGGAATGTCGATTCATAAGTAAAAAGCACATGTTTAAAAAAACATCTTGCTCAAAAATTCTTTCTTGTATCCATTCTCGAAATTTTGATGTAATTTAATAATCATTTTCTCTGAGTTGATAAACTATCATGGAGGAAGCAGTGGCTTTGTGATCAGATTTAGAAAATGGAGAAGAGGAAGAAGAACGTTTATTATTATTATTACTTGAGTATCATTTACGAAGCAGGTACCTCATATTTTCTTGACGCGAGGAGAAGAGCGTTTCGTAAACATGTTAATTCGGAGACATCTATTACAACACGAAAGTAAATTTCCATTTTTTCGCTCGATTGACACTCAACCCTTAGAAATTATTGGGATATTTGTCGTGCATTCATATGTGGGTTTTCTGTAACTCTAAATAAATAACTTTCGTTCTTTTGATAAGCAACAGTTTCAGTTCAAATAAAACGATTCATCAAATTCTATCTATTCATTCATCTATCGTGATTTTTAAATTCTAATAGCTAACCATGCACTGTTTTCGCCAAACCCCGATACGATAATCATGTGGACCAGTTAAGCAACTAAAAACAAATTAATTGAGGACACTAATACGAAATTTACAGGTTTTAAATAATTATTTGTTTGCACTCAGATTTACATGGTTAATAGGGAACTTGAAGAAAATTTTAATTTAAAAAACATTGCTTGTGAGAGTAAGTTTATACTATTAAAAGAACCACAGTACCCAAAAAATATAATTTCGTAGTTCTATGTAACAAATATAAGCAATTAAAAATTGTAAAATGTAAATCCCCTTTGAAATGCGCTGTTATTTGCTGTGATTGTCTTGTGACGTCAATTCGCTTGTAAGACTACGCGCCAGCCGGACGGTGGCATAGAGAACGACAATGCGTTCGTTTTGGTGGTTTTAATTTTAATTTTAAACTTGATCCTGTCGGTTGCTTTTGTTATCCTGTGTTTAGTATCAAGCAGAAAATTTTGAAAATGACCGAAGCGGATTTTTTAAAAGGTCAATCTGATAATTTACATTTAGTGGATATGTTTAGGGTGACATCTTACATACAAAACACAGAAAGTTTTTTTCTTTTGTTGAAGTGCGGGGTTTTAAACCAATATAATATTGTAATCAGCTTAAAGTATTCTAATTTTTGAAATTCAAATGGTATATCAAATAAAACGCAAGGCCTATAACCTGAGCATAAAACACTATGACGTGTCGCCGGATCGATCGAAAAGCAGCATTATGACGTCACCGGTCATTCCCGCGCGTTTAGTGTCGTTTAAAAGGAATAGCCGGGTGTCACAACTTGAATTATTTATTGCAACTTAAATATTGTATTTTGAGTTGTACTAAAGAAATAAAAACAATATTCAAGTTCTCTATTTACATTTGCACTGAAAGACGCGGTCTGAAAACAATATTTATAGTTCAATAATATTTAATAATTCAAAAAACAGGGCATTTTCACCCTGTATTTTTGAAAATAACTTTCAATTATTATCTATAACTTTTGTATTTAATGTTTTTCTCTAAAACAAATATTAAACGAGATATATTACTGTGACACACTATTTGGATATCCTGTATAAAGAATAGTAAGAAACAGGAAACATATCCGTACCCCACATAAGACGACGTCTTGACACCGTTGTCATCGTAGTTAGGGTGGCCTGGATGTGCGGAATAGACATTTTCGACGGCAGTTGGATTCGTGCCGGATTCAAGGGACACGTGAGCTCTGGGCACGGAATAGTTAGTTCTCGGATACGTAGGTCTGCTGGACGGCGTCGAGTCAGAACTCGAATGACTAAGGGTGGTGGCCGTATTAATCGGAGTCGCTATAGCTGTAAAAATAAGCAATATTTTCGTGTCAAATGCCCCAGTAGATACGTATGGGATAACGAACCCAAAAGTAAGAATATACAGATATACAGAGCTCGAAACTGTTCGAAGAAATATGCTATATTAATGATGACGTAGTCATTTTGATAGGTGAAGTCTAGTCTACTTCGTTACGGGATGTCGTAAATTGATACAGGAATTTTATTTGTCAGTTTTGAAATCCGTGTCAAAAGCCGCTTCAAGACACACGGATTATTCTTGTTTACGTCACTATACGTGCGTAACCGCACAGCTGCTCTGACTAGTTTAATTGTCAACGCTTAGGATTCAGACAAAATGAGCCCTATAAGTTTTAACGGGTATTTCAGTTTTTGTGCGTTTTTTAATGATCTAACGGACTTATTTAACTTATCGAACCTATCAATAATTTGATTTTCATTAAAGTACTCGTTGATTTCAAAACTTATGAGAAAATGGTGAATACATAAACTGTAAACATTGCTAGGACGCACAATTCAAAATTATTTAAAGGTAAACATAAACATGAAACGCCCTCTTTTCAAATTCTGTTTTGAATTCGTATTGAAATTCTTCAACTTTTTTACTAATGATAATACGTACTTAAACCTAACAGCCTTTCCATTATTTAAATTTTTCTAAAAAAAAGAGTAGTTGTCACACTTGCAAAAAAATTAAAATCTTCAGATTTAGGTATGTATTATTATGAATACAAAAGTTGAGGAATTTCAAAACGAATTCGAAACAAAATTAAAAAATAGGATGTCCATTTAAAAAAAAAAGTATGTTTCATTAGCCACGGTTTTTTGAGTTACTTTAAAATAATTTTAAATTGTGCGTTTTAACCACTTTTGAGGCATTCTGGAAATGATATGTCATAAAAAAACATCAAAATAGTATTAGTATTAGAATAGATCCTGAAAACAGGCAGAATTTCACAATTTTTCCACAAAGGTAAGTTCAAAATTATCCATTATAATAAAAAGAAATCTATCCATTTAGCTCCTTAATGTACAATATGGGATGGCCTACTGTTTTTGGCCGAAACGTCCTTAATGTTTATTAAATAAAAAAAATTTATATGACCAAATACCCAGGAAAATTTTATTTCATTTAACTATTGATAAAATGATTATAAACTCTGTCAAATAACCTCCAATAATTAAATATCGCGCAAAAACTGACAAATTTATTGAGCTTTTTGTATATCCTTTTACTTTCGAATCCTAGGAAAGAAACTAATCCAATTTTGTTTAAGTTTGTCTATTCCTACCTTTTACCGTCTTTGAAACAAAAATTAATTTTCATGATTGTTACGTATAATCAACATTGAACAAAGTCATTTGAAAGAAAGTTTCGCACATAAACCTTATTTTCATTTAATTTTAGTTTCGTAGCAACTATATTGTCTCTTTTCGAAAGTCAACAATCAATCGATCAATACAGAAGATTCGTTCTTGTCACACTCTAAATTCTTCTTTGTGAACAAGGTAACAATTTAAAAGGTCATACTTTATTAGATTATTACAATTATGCAGAAAAATCGCGAAATATTTGAAAATTATTGAAAATGAAATCACGGTATCATGAAAATTAATTTTTAATTCAAAAACGACAAGAGATAGCTATAGGGAAACCTCCACCAAAATTGGATAATTTCTCTCCTAGAATTCTAAAATCAAAGAATATACAGGGTGTGTTATTAGAAACAAACTCAATAAACCGCGTTTATAGAACTCCCGCATAAAAATTTTTTTTTGAACCATCTTGTATGTCCCATCGAAAATTATATGCCAAGAAAAAGTGCCTGAATCTTTCAAGGAACTGTCTGCAAAAGTTCTAGGAAATTATTTTTTATTTCTATAACAATCAATAAATCAAATGCTATACAAGCAAGATGTTGCCACGTGTATATAGAAGAGGCAAAAAAAAAGAAAATATTTTACAGAGGTAGCACTTCCTCTTACATCACTCTGTATATAAACTTCGACAGAAGGACGTCACATTAATATAGCATATTGTAATAAAAAAAATGCTGTAATAAATCATGGAAAGCAAGCAAAGCATACTTACGCTCTCTTGGAGGTTTGGAATCTACGGGTAGAGTTATCTTGGTACACCGAGTAGGTTTTTTCGTATCTTCACCTACAGTGCAAAAGCAAAGCCCAAATGTGCGTATACGTTAAAAACAACAAGTTTTTGGGTAGGTACCACGTGCTATTTTATAACGGTACTGAATAAAGAAATTATATGAAGAGCTACATGTGGGAGCGAGTTTTTAATAAACGAGTGAGTTAAAAAGTTTACCGTACGTGTTGCATACCATACTTTTTCTACGACCGTTTTTGGTACATTTTCGCAAAACAACACGTCAAAATTCAAAGCGTGGGAAATATCTCCGAAAACATCCGATTGTTCCCAAGTTCGTGCGGTAAAATCCCAGAAATGGCCGAAGTGGCTCGCATTCATGGGAAACGAAACTGACGCCGTAAAGTGACGCTTCCCGCACGCTAGATCGGTGGGTAATTAGGTATTTTACAGACGGGAGAAGAAAAAAGTATTTTTTATGCTTGGGATAATATGGGTTAAGCGCAACTTTTTAGTTACATCCTGCATTCGTGCACAGGATTTTCTTTTCCTTGTTTTTTGTTGCTCAGCCATTATTCAACAACGAGAAATACACCCCAAAACTCTATAAACCGAATAATCAACAATTACACCAATAAACTTCAACGTCAATAAAAACAAATTGGTAACTAACTATCTTTCTTGCGCACAACCTCTACTACGTATTACGTACTTTTTTGCCCACTACTATACATTTTATCTTTGTACTGTCATCTTTCTAGCCATTTCTGATAGGTGGAAAGTATTCTATATATTAGATATATTAGACGAAATAACTGTTAGTCTTATTTGGGCAAAAAATGGACCCGCATCTTTTTTCCCGCGTACTCTTCATATATTAAAATAATATCACTTACCATAATTCGGAGCGTATGACCTCTTGTCCAACGAGTTCGTGTGCAAATGCTCGTGGGGCTCGTAATCGTTCCCACCGACGCTTCTGGGCAAGGTCATTGCCCCGCTGCTACTGGCACCGTCATTGTTGGAATGCCTCTTCTCCATCGCTTTCAACTCCATCTGGTCGTGGTGGATCCAGAGGTCGGGCGGTTTCACACCCTGACTGCCCTTTTGGTAACCCTTTTTGGCTCGATCGGGGGACATATCGGCGTCCCTTCGACGGCAGCACAGCACCACGACCACCACCGATATAGTGGCGACAGCTACCAGGCACCCGCTAATTGTTGTGTAAAGCAATACCTTGCCGGAGAAAACCCCGTTCGACTCTAAGAGAGAACGCAAAAAAAAACTTGGCGTCAATATACAGTCGGTCAAAAAAGTCTCCGTACACATTGTATTTCTTCAGTTTTCTTTTAGTTTCGTCTTTCACTTACACTTAATGAGAAATATATTTCAAGTAAATATCGTTAATCCCATTAAGAGTAATAAAAAATAAAATAAAAATCATTTCAAACACTTTATTTCAACGGTCAAAAATAAGGCAGTTTAAGAAGCAAGAAACTATGTCAAATAAGTCTTTGTACACTATTTTGTCTTACGATAAATTGAAAAGTTTCTTAAAGTCTAATATATAATTTTTATTCTTTTTAATAAGTCTTTTTGGAACACTTAAAACAAGCTTCACCGTAGCACAGATATTTTCGATTTTCACAGCTCTATTTTTTTTCTCCAAACTTTATGCCGACCATCTGACTCAAAAAAAAAAATTTTTGTTTCGTCACTAAAGATAACGTTTTCCCAAAACTTCCTGGTCTTGTTAATGCGTTCTCGGGCAAATTCCAAATCTTTTTTGGAATTTCGCAATTTTTAGCGCTCATTTTGCTTTTACTTCAAAAGTGTATTAAATGATTTTTATATTTTTATTACTCGTAACGAGATTACCGATATTTACTCGAAATATATTTCTCATTAAATGTAAGTGAAAGATGAAACTAAAAGAAAACTGAAAAAAATCTACGTGTACGGAGACTTTTATATAGGGCGGTTCATAAAGAATGGTCAACCTCTAAACTGGACGTACTGGTCATCAAAAACCTAATACGAATGTAGTTGATTTCGTAAATGCAGTTTAGGGCTTTTGACTTGACAATTAGGAATTTGAACTTTGAAATTGAGATATATTTCAATTTGAAATATTTAAAAATGAATTAAGCAAACTTCATCAAAATCAAGATTTGAATTAGGGACAAGATCTTGAAAATAAAGTGTCAATAAACCGATAAACCGAAATTATTATGGAAATGTTAATTTTTCGTCTCATATAATACTATCCGCATCCAGCATCAATGACTGCAGCAAATGTTATTGGGGTGGCGATGATTTTATAGCGCACTGGGTGAAATAAGGGGACATATAAAAAAAATACGTTATTTTTAGTTCATTGTACCATCAAATCCGCACATTTGTATTTTAACCACCAACAATAGTGCCACGGATCACTTTTCTCAGTCATTTAATTTACGGACAGGCATAATACTTAACAAAACATCACATTCATCTCCTCTGCCACACATCATCTTTCTTAATGGAGGCCGGAGAGAACGAGACATAACCACAGCATATTCGGAACTTCTTAAGCACAGAATAAAAACAGGCGTAACACTCTCTAGTCAGTCAGTCCTTCCAACATAACATTCTTAAATCTAACATAACCCAAAATTCCTTTAACTTTCATTGTGACAGTTCACGCGATATTGTCAAAATAAATGACGCGTGTGTTTTCAAAGTAGAAAAAGAAGCTTCTGACACATTTTTCTATAAAACATCTTTTAGCGAAACTGAATACAGAAACATTACGCAAAGAAAAATGCGAGCAGGCGCGCCTTTTACATTCGTTTGAAAATGTCAATCTAGACCGTGCTTATCGAGATGTTAGAAATTCAAAAAAAAAGTTTAATGACTTAATGGATTTGCTAAAAAGGAATACTATTAAAAAATGTCACAGTCACTTTTATAACAGCCTGAAAGGTGCCAAAGATTGAAATGTCACGGATTTTTAGTTACTTTGAAAATAGTACTTTTTGTTTATTTTCCAAAAACCGCTTTAATTGGTTGTTGCTTTTAATATAGAATATCTTGTTTCTTATAATTTTAACAACAGTAGCTCTCTACCAGAAACTATAGGTCCGTTGTTTTTTATTGTCCGTTGTTTTTTGGTTAAGCTTTTCGATGTTTTTTATAGTTATTGTTTACGTGCCAAAGTTTTAAAGGCACATTTTTTCGTGATTTATTATTTTCCAGTTTAGGTTTTTGTTAAGTTACTATTATGTAGCTATCTCACAAATGAACCTGCCATATGATATTTTTATTATGTAAATGATGTTAAAACTTCGATCTACTGTTTTATTGAGAATTTTGTTTATCAAAATGTTGCACTTTATTTGTGAAATTGATGTGTGTAAAAAAAATTACAGGAAATTTAAAAACATTTAATATACAATCATTTATGAGTGCGGAACAATACAACGAATTATTGAACACCTTAATTAATGATGAAAGTTGTTATCTTAGACTACCGAGAGATCCAACCTCTTCTTTACAACAAAAGGCCAGCAAGACTTATTTGCTCTCAAAAAGATACATTACTAAAGAAGAGGCTAGTAACTTAAGAATTTAAAATCATACTTCTCCGAAATACTATGGATTGCCAAAGGTACATAAACCTACGCTATCGTTAAGATCTACAATTTCGTCTATCAATTCACCAAATGGTAAATCAACTTCTATGATTATTATGTGTCCGATTCCTTCAAATATGCTGGGTTTATTCAAAATAAACAACTTTCAAAAAATTATGTAATCATCAGTCTTGATGTTGTCTCTCTTTTTTACGTTTAACAAAATCAAGTATCAGAAAAAGATGGCAAGCTATCTCGGCATATACCAAAAGTTCCCTTACATTGCAAATTTCATTTTTGACTCAAACTTCTTTTCGCATCGGGGACAATTTTTCCAAGCAGATTTCCGGTACTCCTATGGGCAGTTATATTAGCCCTATAATCGATAAGTTCGTGATGGATGATCTTTTAGACACATGCTACGTTGAATTATCGGTTGCCATTGTCGAAGAAATATGTCGACGATATTATTTGCGCAATTCCAACAGGTGCTTCAGACTTAACATTGGAGGTTTTTAATGGACACGATCAGCATTTTTAGATACAAGACTCATAAGAACTGAGGAAGATACTGTCATGCAACCAAAGAAGGATGAACTATCATTCTGAGCATCCCTTGTATATGAAAAGCAATTTATATAACTTTTCTAATAAGCAAGAGAGTTGATATGATATATCTCAATAATTCAGATTTCCTCGGAATTATTATTTTGTGGATGTGCACCCAGTGGGCGTAATGTAATATTATAATAATAAATTTGTAAATTTTCACTTCTATTTCGCAAAATTTATAAAAACCCAACCAACGAAAATTCAATTTCTACTTCGATCAACGATATTCACTTGCGAAAAAATTTGCAGGGAAAAACGAGTTGTGTCAGGAGATCGCTATTTAGAAAGAAATTGGTGCAAAATGTATGCTTATTTTGTTAAATTTAAGAAAATGTTATAGACGCCTTAGGCATATCAATTTTTAATTTATTTCCGGCTCTATATTATCTGATAGCTATATGATAATTAATTTTAGACAAAAAATAAAAGTTCAAACTTTTTTTTTTGGTACTTTTGACGTCAGAACACACAAAATTTAGAGCGAAAAAAAACTCGTAATTCGCAAACCTCCTATTGAAAATCGCTTTTATTTTTTCCTTTACGACGTATATCTTCCAAAAAGATAAGTTTAAAATGAAAAAAAAAAAAAAAAAAAAAAAAAAAACAACAGCAAACAAATAGAAAAGATTGCATAGAGTAAAGAAAGAAAACGCAGGAAAAAAACATGATCAGCATTTGTCCAATGACCCCTTGTTTGCGGCATTCGTGTTTATTATCTTTTTTTTTTAAACGACTTAACCAAAAAAAACTTCCATGGACCAGTGGTTCATAATAAAAACCGTATTTTTTATTTTAGAATATGGCAATAAGCATAATCTTTCCTTTAGGCAAACTTGGTATATGAAAGCAATGAAAAATGCCATTTTTGCCGTTAGAGAGAATAGAGCATTTTCATGTATCGCAAAATATTTGAAATTTTACAGATCGCTATAGAACGTGTTCTAGTTTCCACTTCCAAAATAAAAAAAAAGGTGAAACAGGCCCGTTATTCACTCGGAAGTATCGGAAGGGTTTTCCATATATTCAAAACATCTAAACTCGGTTTTGGCGTAAAACATTTTTATAAAACGCAAACGTAATATTCGATAACGCTTCTAAACGAATGGGGTCATTTTTACAAATGCACAAAAAAGGAGGGCTGGGATAAAGTTAAGAAACAACAAAATTATAATACCTGATGGTCCTTGCAGCGAATGGCCCGTTGCAACCACTATTAAATAAATAAAAAATAAATAAATAAACTGAAATCAAATCAAAGGCGAATAGAAAAAAAAAACTTCCCCATTTGCAACGTATTGTTAAATCGTGCGTGCAAAAACCACTTACTCTGTCCCGTCCTAAATGACACGACATTAGAAAACGGACCGTATCCCCTGCTATTTCTGGCCTGAACTTTGAAGTAGTAGACCGTGAAAGGCTTCAGATCGTAAATTATGCTCGAATGGTTGTCGCCTTTGATCGCGAGCGCTTGCCATTCGGGATCGGTTTTCGTCTTATTGTCCGTGTAAAGTATTACGTAGCCCGTAATACGCGCGTTAATTGTTTTCGGCGGTTGCCAAGTCAACTCGACGAGCTGCGAGTCTTCATCTTTTAGGTGGACGTCCAAGTCCCTAGGGGCGACGCTCGGCGGCATTTCCCAGGTACGATTTTGCACGACCATACTCCAGGAACTTTCCCTACGACCTATGAAAAGAGACAATAACATTTTATCTCCGGGGGAATATACGGTGAGTGTCCATAAGGGATTCACGAGGATTCATTCATTTAATGTTATGAATAACATTATTATTATGATTAAAGAACAAATTTGAAAAAAATATATTTGCGTCCAACACCTAGAAATATTTAAGCTGAATATTTATTTAATATACTTTATAATAATAGGTACTAAATATTTATAAACATGGAGAGTAAAACATGAAATACAACTTAAAAACAATGATTAAAGCCATTTACACAGGTCTTGATGTTGAACATGAAGGGGTCGGTTCGATTGTTTTCTACTTTGTCATGAATTATTACATAACCTCAGTTTCTGTGGTTTGGTAAAAACTACAACTGAGTTGGACTTAGTTGGTAAAAATGTGTTATCATCTCTGGATACAATGTCGAAAAACATAACAGATCTTCGGGTTAAAGAAAAAAATGTTTACTGAGTTTTCGAATATACATTCTTATAAGCAATTGTGAGTTAAACCTACTGTTTGGAGACGTAAAGACCTAGTTATATCTTAACAGATCGTCTTAATGAAGATGCACTGGAAAAATACATTTTTCCCGATTATTGAATTTACCCTTTCAATTTAACCAATCAAAATTTTAATATTGTGGTTAACCTCCCAGTTACAAAATCATTAAAGAGAAATAGTATTAATATGAATATTTTGTTATTCCTGGATTTATGGGTATAAAAATTACAATTGGTAAGTTGGAATATTAAAAATGAGCAATCTGAAGTCCCTCTGATTTAATAAATTTTGTTCCTTTTGAAGCAAACCAATTATCTTTTGAGCTTAGTCAAATAAAATGTGCAAAAACCTTACACCTCAGCCAATCAAAACTAACCAATACATTTAAATGAGTCTCAAACGAAAAATCCCAACAGCAATTTCAGATATTACGAATTAGCTTTTTTTTTACCTAGAGTGGCAATTTTGGTGATAAACACAAAAAACAATTTTTTGAATAGAGAGAAAATTTTCAAAAATGAAATTTTCGGCTTACCTTTGACAGTTTTAACGGCGAATTCGTACATGGTATTCGGTTTCAAATCGTCAATTTTCACGTGCAAATCAGTGACGTTGATATACCTCGTTCTCGAAGAAGTGTCGGCAGTATACTTGACCTTGTAGTATCTATTGTCTCTTACATACTAAAATTTAGGTAGACTATAGACAACCAAAAAAGTATTATTGTAAAGTGAAGCAAATTTTAAGATATATAAAGACGACTATTAATGGGGATTGTCGTCTTTCTCTTGCTCATTTATATAAATACAAGAATGGGGTGTTTTCGTCGTCAACTGGATTTTATTATTGCCAATCCCCATTACTACCCGTAACAGTTCCAGTTCAATGTTGTGGTGTTCACTGTTTAATGTACCTGACTTTGTTTTAGCGTTGGATCGGTCCAGTACAGTACAACAGATGTGGTGCTCAGTACTTGAGCTTTGAGTCCCACGGGGGGCATCAAAGCAGCAGCCGGTTCCGGAGCAGGTTCGTCTTGGGTTTTGGCGGTGGCATAAGTTGAAGGTCCCGGACCCATACTATTGCTGGCCCTGATACTGAGCACGTACTCAGAATTAGCCTCTGCAAGGGTAAACACTGTGTAGGACTACCCGGTAGGCGGCCGGTTCGTGGTGATTACCTAGTCCTTCGATAATGAACGTCCTATTCTTCTCGTCCAATTCTTGGAAATAAATATCGGGAATGCCCTTACCCCAACCGAGGATATAATTCCTAACACGGATGTTTTGGTTGACCGGAGGCGACCACATCACATATAATTTATCAAAGGTGGCACGAACTGCGAATACACCCAGTATAATTTTTCAAAGAAACTTCCACAGGCTGCTGTAATACTATTTATAAATCATTCTGTTGGCTTATTCAGAGCTGAACTGAAACTGACATGCATTCTACTCGGTACCTGCTGAAGGGTGCATGAACATGAACATTGTCCCTTTCAACAAAGTAATTCCCAAATGGGTCCCGAGCCGCTAAACAATCAATCTGAGCAATCTTAACCTCGACCTAGGTCTTTACCTTTACCAATATTTATCTTTTTCCTTTAGCTCCGCCTCCCTCAAACAATATACAGGTTGTTAAAAAAGTACGCTGCCAAACTTTAAGAAATTATTCTCTGGGTGATTTTAAGACAAAAATTTCATATAAACGTAGGTCCAAATTTTCTAAAAAATTAGATTTTCTTTTATAACTTTTATATCACTTTCGATATTTTTATCAAATTTGGTGAACATCTTTTAGTTATTGAGAGACGGTTTTTGACACAAAAGCTTTTTACCAGTGACGTCCGTACGGGGTTTGAACTGAATATTAAAAAAAAAATGACACGTCACTGCTTTTTCTGAAAATAAATAAATACAAAAAATTAACTACTAAAAGGAAGAAGAAGATTATTCAAGAATATTAAATAACTGCAAACAAAAGATCTTTACAAACAACACTCTCCCAGAAAAAAATAAATAAAAGCAACTCCTGGAAATGACCACCTCCAACTTCGATACATGCGCTTGTACGTCTTACGAGGGGCTGGCGAACTCTTTCTAAAATACAAGGGGTGTTCCTAATAACTGTACAAGAGTCTTCTATTCGATTTCTTACCTCACTTTGAACTGGTGCTGTGTACACTATTGTTTTTAAGTGTCCCCAAAGAAAGAAATCTATTGGATTTAAATCAGGTGACCTGGGTGGCCAAAAATGTGGCCCAGCACGCCCAATATAATTTTCACCTAAATACTGACGTGCTACTAAATTAAAGAACGTCTTTGCTCTAGCGGGACATCCTTCAAAAGTTCAGGTAATACTCATACTCGTATTGCTCACTAGTAATTCTGCCACGCAGAAAGTGAGGCCCGATAAGGAAATAAGGAAAAAAGTTTGTGAATTGAACAATTTTCACCAAAGCAATCAAATAATTTTTAAATAGACTTTCAAAAATCACCGATAAACAAACCAAGTGCAATTTTATTTAGAAATTTGACAACTGTCGTGTTATTGTTATAAACAAATGAATTACTGCCGCTTAGCAAAGCCTAATTTGTTTTTTTTTTACTAGTATTGACTAGTATGTCGATAAAATTGCAGTTTGTTTCTTAAATTTTCCTATTAAATTGTTAATTTAATGTAGTAGCAAGTTTTAATAAATAAAAAAAAAGCTAAAAAGGACCGCGTGAATGCTAATTGGAAATCATGAAAAAAGAATCATTAGATTATTACAAATTATACTTACTTCTTTTTACATCAAAATTAAGTAGATACATTTAAATGGTTTTTATTTTTTTTAAGCGAAAACCGTGCGTCGTACGAAAGCAAGTTCAGGCACCAAATTTGCTCCAAATTGAATGGGGATTATACAAATAATTTTTGTTTTCAGAAAAATCAGTGACGTGCCATTTTTTTCTTTGAAAATATTGAGTTCAAACCCCGTACGGATGCCATTGGTAAAAATAAAAATAAAGCTATGATCACCAAATTTGATGAAAATATCGAAAGTGATGACCTATGTTTAAATGAATTTTTCGTCTTAGAATCACGCCAGGAATCGTCTCTTAAAGTTTAGCATCGTACTTTTTTAACACCCTGTATAAGCAGGTACAGAGTTCTATTCTGAATAAATCTAGAAGTTTTGTAAACAGTATTACACCAGTAGTATTAAAGTAGTAAAATTAAATAAACGAGGCGGGCAAACTCACATCTTAAATTCGACGGAGCGTCCGGTACTCTGCTCTCGTCCAGATCTTTTTGGAAGGTGTCCACTTCTACCCACTCCGAACCGGGACCTGTCCCGTTCACGTTCATCGCCCATACTCGGATTTGATACAACTGACCGCGTTCCAAGTCCTTGATGACGTAGTGTCTCTCGCTCGCAGGGGTCGTAACCGTCGTCCCTTTGCCCTTGCCCGACTTGCGATATTTTATTTTGTAACCCAGTATCACGCCGTTTTGGGATTCGATAGGCGGCGGTTCCCATCTGACTACAACGCTCTAGAAAAAAAATACTCGATATCAAATAAAGATACACCTGAGCCTTTCCATTATTACATTACAGACGGGGCAAATTGTATAAACATGCATTGCGAATAAAAACACGCCATTAGAGGCAAAAAAAAGAATTTCAATAATTCTGCAAAGTTACAATTTTTTGCAGGAACGTCAGGCAGGAAAAATAGAAAAAATTAATGAAAACAAACACAAAATTGATAATGTAGCGCCCACAAAATCTAATAAGAGTTATTAAGGGTGTTGTGGCAATCAACAGTAAAATAGTGTTCACAATATAATGTTGGATTGGAACTAGAGGCCCCATCTTGTGGCACTGCGAGATCGTGTGATCTATCACCCTTAGATTTTGTATGGGCTAGATTAAAAGATCTTATATTTAGAGATAGAATTTTCCAAATCAAAGCAGAGTTAGAAAAAGCCACTCGAGAAGCGTTTGCTTCCATCAATCTTATAGAGTTAGCGAATAGCAGCAAAAAAAAAAGGTGGGTTCAGTGCACTGAAGAGAACGGCGCCAAATTTGAACATTAACCTGAAAATATTTCAATATAATTAATTGAACAGATTAAATAAAATTAAATATTTTGTATTCTAATATTTATTGTGTTTTGTTTGTTAGTTTATTAATAATCCAAAATAATAAAATTAAATATAATGTCTAAAATGAAAATTGAAATATTAAATGGTTCTTGGGTTCCGTGCTTCTCACTTGTTATTTTAAATAGGTCTTAACTCTTTTAAAGTTCCAGATCCATTCGTCTTAAAAAAATGTCCAAATAATGTTTTTATCCGAACATGAAAAATGCCCTATGAAGAAGATACGTTCTTTCAAAAACCGAGCCCTTGATTTGCAAGTCGATTTTTCTCTACGTAGTTTAGAAATAAGTTTTTACTGTGTACACCGCCTTGTAGACTTTTATTTTTGTATATCTTGAAACTTCTTTGTTGTTGATTAATCCTTTAATCAGTGCGTGGTAAACTTTATTAACTTTGTCATGCAGTTTCTTGTTCTCTTATACAAGCATTTTGCTACATTAATTAAGCTATTGCTGACCTTTCTTTGTTTTAGACATTTCCATATTTATAAATTTCAAATATGTTGACTTTTTTCTCTCTATTATGTGACTAGCAATTTCCTTGATGGTGAACACATGGTTCTCAGTGCATCTTCCTTTTCTGAAGCCACCCACATGGTACATCTGAAAGTGTAGGTGTAGGTTCAGGTGTAATTCTGTTGCTGCCTGGCGTTTTTTCATTTTTTAGCGCGTTTATTGCTTCCCTTGATAATTCTGTCTTCTTTATTCTCTTTTTTCTTCTTCACATACTTGGTCTTTGTCATTCTCTTGTTGCGGGACTCTTGGATATCCGGTTCTTTTTTGTGCATTCGGTAATTTTTCAATAAGTATGTCAACTTTATAGCACCGTTATAGCTCATTCTTTGAATATCTTACAATCTTCTGTTTATTTATTGCTCGTATTTGTTCGCTATTTCTTGGTCCCTTAAGACCTAATCACCTTCATATATGTTTCTGTGCTCCTTTCCTGTCGTTTACATCGGTTGTCATATATATATATATATATATATATATATATATATATATATATATATATATATATATATATATATATATATATATATATATATATATATATATATATATATATATATTCTCACGTATTGATTCACGGATGGAAAAATGTGATGACACTATACTCCGGGATATCATCCGTTCGCTCGTTGAACTCCGACTGGAATCCTGCATCCGACTGGAATTCTGCAAATCCTGCAGTGTTCGAAGTGTTTTCGGAGCGCGAGCATTGAAGATGCCAAGTGAGATTTTGGCGAAACGTCTGCAGGATTCCAGTCGGATGCAGGATTTGCAGAATTCCAGTCGGATGCAGGATTCCAGTCGGAGTTCAACGAGCGAACGGATGATATCCCGGAGTATAGTGTCATCATATATATATATATATATATATATATATATATATATATATATATATATATATATATATATATATATATATATATATATATATATATATATATATATATATCAAGTCAAGTTGGCAAGAACACAGAAAACTTACTAAACTAACTAAAGTATTAGCAACGCTTTTGACTAGATTAAGCTCAATTTTCAATATTATAAAGGTAGCAGGATATAAAGATCGTAGGCTATAGACATTAAAAGTCCGAAATAATATTCTTGTCTTGAAGGAATCATAAATATGCATGACCATGTGTATGTGCTTGATTAACAAATAACAAAATATTTAAAAAAAAAATCGGTTTTAGGGAACACTTATTAAAATTTGCCTCACTATTGCGCCGTCCTGTATATCATAAAAATAAATACTCTTTATACGCACTTACGATACAAGATCAAAAAATGTCCCATATGGGAGACTAACAAATGGTCAACAGAATGGGAATGCTTTTGGCAGAATATGCTTTAATTAAGGCATTAAATTGTTAGACATAAGTAGTATAGTAGAGACGGTTCTAAGCCACTTTTGGTGGGGATTTTCGACGGAAATTTTCAAAACAAATTGAAATACAACAGATCAACACAGACTGAAATTCGCAACAAAAATATAGCCGTTCGAGCAGAAAAAAAAAAACATTATTTCGAACACTACGCGAATATCTACACAAAAGCACTTATAATGAAATATCCGAACTTTTGAGCGACACTAATAAAATAAAAAAGAGTTCTTTTGTTCTGGTTCCTTGAATAAAAAGCTCTTATCAAAATAATTGAAAAACACATTTTAAAGTGCACAGTTGATGAGGATAATATTAGAAAGATTTTGTTAGAAATAAAGATTCTTGCATCGGGACAAGAGGAATTAAATATTGTTGCTGTAATAGAATTCTACCATTTTTGACTAATATTGTTAATTCCTGGCCATTAGAAAAAGGAAAAGTGTGTGATGTCGAAAGTAATTCCACTCCTTAAAAAGTCCGAAATCTCAAATTTTAGTGACCTGAGATCGATTAATATACTACCAGTATATTATCAGATTAGAGAACATCTGCAAAAACATGGTATACTTCCCTTAAATCACTCCGGATTTTTGGTTGTGCGGCCGCATTACCAAGGGTCGCAGATGACGGCCCTAATACTCTTTGATTATTCTAAAGCTTTCGATAGATTAATTCACGAGTTGCTACTTGCAATCCTTTTACGCAATTATCTCAGTCAACGCCTTCAATATGTTGAGTTTAAAGATACTGTGTTATCTGTGGATCCAATTAGGTGTATTGTTCCGCAAAGTTCGATCCACGGGCCTCTTTTTTACTATCTATTTTTGTCATATAACATCTTTTTTGCGATTTTGCAACGTTGCCTTTACGCAGATGATACACAACTGTAATTTTATTTTTTTTCGCCAACTCACAATAAATATTAATAAACGAAGATTTAGAAAGATTATTACAGTTTGGTTAGCTTTATTGGTTAGTTAATATTTGGTATACTATACTATTCAAAACTCAACACAAATTTGGGACTAGATTTCAATATTAATCTTCGTTTTAAACCTCATATTGATACGTGTGAATACAAAGGGTCCAAAAGTAGTGTTTGGGTTTGATTTATGGTATACGCGGCAGGGATCCAGTTTCATATAAACAAAAAAAAACAAAGTGGCTAACAATGGAAAGTAGGCGTAAATTACATTCAGTTATACTGTTTCATAACATAATATTGAATAAGTTTCCCCAGTATCTTGAAAATAAAATTAGCTTTTCTACTGACGTGCATACTCTGAACTTGAGTTTTGGTGAATATATCGCCTCCACCGCATCAACTAACCTTCTTTCACAGACCTTTCTCTTATAAAGCTTAATCGCGTTTAAACGTCTCTATCGAAAGTACCTTCTCGAGAACGATTGTGTTCAACAGACGACTCTGCTTGTTTGCTTGTTTGTATTTTTTAAAATATTTTTTAATTAGTTTTTTTTGGTTTTCCTTATATATCATTTCCACTTTCAACTATAGAAAACCTTTGCTTGTTAAGGATCAAATATAATATTTGAATATTACTTTCGGTGTCTAGGGGTTGAACTTGAACTTTTCGCAATTGGTTTCAACTGCTTTTTTGAGAACATACGGCACTGTCTGTATTATTTTGTTGCGAAATAATAATTATTATTATTAATACAATACTCACGGTGCTGGACGGTTCTAGCGTAACATTATTGGGGGCATCGGAGGGAGGCGCGCTAAACGTTTTCACCAACTTCTCTTCAGTGGCCGCTCCAGCGCCGTTCTGGTTCATCGCTACCACCCAGATGCTATATTCGGCGTAAGGGTTTAAACCGTTTAAGTCAAACGACAAATCCTGAGTGTCGACATTGTGTTCCAGCGATGAACTAGTCTGCAAGCGAAAGAAAAATAATTAATTTCTCTCTAGAAGGGAGTTCGATGGGAATCAACCACCTCCATATAGTAGACGCCGTATCTTAGTATCTGCCCATTGGGGATTTCCGGTGGAGTCCATTCGATGTGGATGTTTCTCGGACTCGTCGCGTAAGCTTTGAAATTTTGAGGAGCGCTAGGCACGTGCTCTTCGGATTGCGTCGTCACAGTAAGAACGTCCGATGATACGCCGGGCCCCAGCGCGTTGATCGCGACCACTCGGAAATGGTATACCCTGCCTGGCCATAAACCCCCTATACTTTCTTCCAGTTTCGAACGGGTTGTATTTTGGTAACGCTCCCTAAAAGTAGATAATCGGCTCCTATGGGTTCAAGAAAGTCAACCGCCATCCGGTTGTTTGGACATCAGACGAAGGAAAGAGGGAATTTCGCAAGCATCTTCACTAATCAAGCCCGTTCAGGTCGCGTCTAAACACTGTTGCCGCAACATCATTATTCGCGTATGTGAACAAAATAGTTTTTCGTTATCGTCGCCGTAAAATTAAGCTGAGTTAAGTGAAAATATTTTTGAAAAATTCACACTAATCAATATTGATATGGATTCGGAAATCTCCCTACCCTATCTGCAATGGAAATTTTCCGGATTTGACAGCTTCAATATGGGAAGTGACGTTTCTATTTTTAAACGGATTTGATGTGAAATTTTTGTACCGAATCTTCTTCGTGCACAAAATTAAAATATTAAAGTTTATGTCGGGGGGGGGGGGGGGGGCTTTTTCGGGACACCATGTATCAACAATATGATAACATTTTAAATCTCCAGGAGAGTCCAAGTAAAAGCCTGTGATAAAAACTACTGTGACGGGAGATGAAAGTACGGTTCTCTATTATGACCCTCTATCGAAAATAGATCGCAAAGAAAGTAATACCATTGTTACATTAATTACATAAATTGCGAGACTGCATACGTGTAAAACGTCGAGGAAAACTGACCAGAGGTGTGCGTCTTTTGCACGATAATGCACCTGTCCATACTGCTGGTGTTGCACAAACTGCCGTTTCAGAGTGTGGGTTCCAACAGATAGATCATCCTCCTTATAGTCCAGATATGGCCTCCAGCGACTATTATTTGTTTGGATATTTGAAAAAGGACTTACGTGGACGGCGGTTTAAAGACGAAGTTGAGTGAAAAGAGGCTGTTTTAGCTCATTTTGCAGACAAACCAAAAGAATATTTTTTTAAAGGGATTGAATTGTTAATAAAGAGATGTAATAAGTGTATTGAAGTTATTATAATAAAAAATTGTTATTCTACTTTGTCTCTTTCATATTCAGGCCGGGAAATTTTGGCGCTGCCCTCGTAGGTAGATAAAATTCCTATGACGGTCCTGGAATGATTACGGGCAAGGGCCTGCTCGGCAGAGTGTTCTATAAGTGTTTTGGAGTAATAAACCATAGGCAAAGTTAATCACGGGGTCGGTTGTAAAAGCACTATAATTTTGGTCCAAGTATATATCCGAGAGTAGTCTAACCTGTCCAAAAACAATTTGCGAAAGCGAACCTTACCTGTCGCTCCCCTCCTGCCTGTAGTACACCGAATAAGCTTCGATGTTGTTCTCGTTGACCACTGGCGGTTTCCAACTCAAAATCACGAACCTTCCCTTGACCATTGGCGCTTTCAAATCCTGCGGCGGTCCTGGTAAACCGTCGGTGATCTTCCGTTCCGAATTGCCGGCTAAAATGGGTTTTTGGGAGGAGAAAGCGAACTGGATATCGCCCAGGTTAATATTGTCGCGAGATTCGCTGCTTTTCAGCGAACTGAAAGCCGAATGGGGATCGTAAACCCCGTTACTACTTTGCGCCGCCACATTCGGCCGCAACAAATGGCCGAAATCGGTCTCGCCGAGTTCGTCGTAGTCTTCGGATTTTAGCGACGTGAACGACGACAACGATTGCCGTTTGTAATTCGTTTCAAACGATTTCGAAGGCGTCTTTTTCGGCCGCACCTTTTGCAGACCTTTTTTTTTCTCGCCCACTTTTTTTTTTTTTTTGGAAGTCGCATGCAAAACGTTGACCAACGGAACGTGCAAAAAGTAAATCGATAACGTTAAAGGAAAAGGGCGGACGGGGACGGGAATTTAAAAAAAAACGAAATAAATTAACAAATAATAAAAATAAAAAAATTATAAATAAATGAGGCGGCTAAAGGTACCTGAGTGCGGGAGAACTTTCAGGCTGGCCGCGGCCTGGATGTTTCCGGCCGGATTCGTCGCGAAACACTGGAATATTCCCGAATCGGTAGACATCAGTCCCATTATTTTTAAATTGTTTCTGGCGTGAAAATGAAGATGTACTTTAACGGCAACAACGTAGGTGGCGTCACTTACCCGTTGACGAGTTTGTAATATTCGGAATACTTTACGAGTTCCCCGTTTTTAAACCAACTAATTTTCGGTTCAGGTACGCCGTAAACGCTACACTCTAGTTCTATGTCTTTTGTGGAATATTCAACTTTATCCTGAGGTCTTTTTAAAAATCTTGGAGGCACCTGCAACATATAAGACGTACAGGGTGTCCAAAACTCGAATGGAAAAAGAAAGGCATTTTAAAATTGGGTTGCCGCCATAGGAGGTTGTGATCTTCATTTATTGCAAATGGAATTTCCTGTACAGGGTGATTGGAATTGGAGTGTTTCAACCATTTCTGAATTAGATAGAGCAAAGCCCCTCAGAATTGCAAAACAAAGATAAAATCTAAAAAAAAATGTTTTTGAACAACTTTTACAAAATTACAAAATTCTAATCCACAAACCTTCTGGATTCTCCGAATGACTTGTTAATTTGTTTTGTTCATATATATCTTAGCGCACTCAGTACGTCCATCTATGATCATACTTCCAACGAATGCATGGCCTCCTCAGGCGTCCCTCAAGGCTCGATATTGGGGCCATTATTATTCAACATTTTCATTAATGGCATTTGTACCGACCTTGACGTCAGTTTTTTATATATCCAGATGACGTAAAGATAGTCTGGAGCAAATCAACATTTGGTCCCTAAATACTAAGTTGTCTCTTTTACCACCATGAGTGCAGCTGTGAAATATGACTATCATTATTTTGACAAGACTCTGTCCCGTTCTCACACTTTTTGTGTCTTGGGAGGAATATTCGACTGGAAATTCTCCTTTGTTCCTCATGTTAATAAGGTAATGTGAGAAGCCTCAAAAAGCTGGGGATTTGTCGTACGCTGCACCAGATACTTTCAAAATACAGAAGTGATAAAAATACGGCATACGTCAGGCCTAAGTTGGAGTATGCATCAGTAGTTTGGTCTCCCGGGTACAATTGTCATATTAATAGCATTGCATATATATTTCCTATTCAATATTATTAAGTAGATCTGGTTATATTCTCTTCTTTTTTTTATTAGAGTTAATATTTCTGTTATTCTAAACATTAAGTTAAGTTTTGTCATATCATCATTACTATCCTAGCTGTTAGTTGGGCCTCATATCTGCTAGCTAGACTTCTTTAAATAAATAAAAATAAAATAAATAAGTAATATTAATTTTCAATTCCATGTTCTGGAATATTTAACAGATACAATCCATATCGTTGAAGCACAGAACATTCTCATGTTGTAGTGTTTTAAAATAGGCAAGGTGGTTTTGGATTCAATGTTCAATTCTCCGAGGTAGATTTGTGGGAAATTTTTTTTTATAATGAAAATCTGACAGCGAATGCTTATGTAAATATTTAGCGAACAAGTGATGCTCCATTTATGGAAGACTTGACATTGTTGACATAATTGTTGGAAGGAGTATTTGTTATTAACAAAATGGGTGTCCCGCATACAACTCACGAATTTTAAATGAAGAGTTTGAACAATGTGGACTGCGAGATCGTCTGATTTAACTTCTCTAGATTTTTTTATGGGGGAGGTTAAAAGATCTCATGTTTATTCAAACAAAAGCAGATGTAGAGGAAGCCACTCAAGAAGCGTTTGCTTCTGTCAGCCATATAGAGTTAGCGAATAGTTGCCATTCAGTACGAAAAAGGTGCGTTCGGTGTATTGAATAGGGAGGGCTCAATTTAAATATCTACGGCAAAAGATTTCAATATATCAAATGTAAAAGGTTAAATTTCAACATTTTGCATTCTAATACTTATTGTGTTTTGTTTATTAGGTTAAAATAATTTTGTCTTCTAAATAATTAAAAATAAAACATTAAATAGTTCTTAGAATTTAGAAGTTTATAGTAAAATTGATATTAACAATGTTGTTTCATTGTGCCCCTAGTTTTTGAAACAATCCAATTTTGTAATATATTAGGGTGGAACGGTTCGGTGTGGTTTTTCCGGGCATTCTAGAAAAATTAAATAAGGATTTTTAGAGCAATTATGAACGTGACATTGGTGATTTGAATCCACCCACCGCAGTATACATATATTTTTTCAATCACAAAAGTTATTTTTCTTAATATATCAAATTTTTAATCCCGCACGCCAATGATTTATTGCTCTTCTCGAGAATTATTTTTTCCCACCTTAGATGGTTAACACCCTTCTGAAGAATAACTATCGATATCGGTAATCGCCAACTTCCGTATAGGGCAGACACCGGAAGAACAAAAATATATAAAAATTCCAATTTTTTCGTATAACGGTTGAAATTATTTTCAAATTCGCAAAAAAAGAATTTTTGTGTGCATATTTTAAAAATAGAGATCACCGCAACCTACGGCAGCAACCCATTGGTTTCAAAAGGATCCTCACTTGAATTACAATAAGGGCTGACGCGTCCAGAGCGTCTTCTCTATTTTCCGCACGACACTGGTAGGTGCCGCCGTCCGGTTCCTGGATTTTCGTTATTCTCAGCGAACTGGTCGACCCGACCAAACTAAATCTACTGTCCAAGTCGCTGAAATAGACAAATCTAAGTTTCGTTTTAAATCTTAAATCGCAAACTTCGACAGGCTATTGTAATACTATTTTTCTACTCCTTCCTGTAAAATACCTAATTCATCATCCTGTTGACTCGCATTCTACTGTGTACCTGCTTATATATTTTTTGAAGGGGGATGAGCTTGAGCAGTGTATCATCTCCTTAGTTCGTGGTTAAATGTCCGTTGCAATAGCTGTATCAGTAGCGTCACAACACAATTTTTTATCAATCAATATATGAAAAAAAAACATAACCTCAATTTCTGCCTAAACAATGCAAAATTCGAATAGGAATTTCTTAAGAAAGTGACTTTTATTTTAACCGAAGACTACAAAAATGTCGATATATACAGGGTGATTCATTTAAAATTACTAAGTTGGGGACACATTTGGGACAAGCTGTATAGACGAAATTATAATATTTTTAATCTTCAGATCATAAACTGACCCGTCTGCGTTTTATTAGGCCTTTGGTTTGGCTTAAAATTGGTAACATCAAATATTATAAACAAAGTATTTATTATTATTATTATTATAAATAAATAATTTTATCATTTGTCATTTGATTTGACTGTTTTTGTGTTTTGCGAGATACAGTAGATGGGACAGCCGGTACACGTCTAACCTAACAGCTCCGCTAATTTTTTATTTGTTTAATGTATTCTTAAAGCATAATTGTATTGAGTCCGAGTATTTATTCTTCAAATTATTATCAACGTGCTATGGGGATAATGCAAATGTGATAACTACTGGTGAATTAATAATAATATTTATCTTAAAAAAGGCGCTAAAGACGTGACGTCTTGTGACGTTGACAAATCACGAGTTTCGCTCCTCCCCCTAATTCCCTGGGCAAAAAAAATAACCTCTCGGCGAGCACTTACTTCATGTCTATGGCGTAACCATCTTTGAGCCACGTGATGGCTGGGTTGGGATTGCCGTTGGCCGCGCAATCCAAAGAGACATTTTCGCCCTCAACCACCGTCGCCGGCCTGGGTTTCGCTATGAACACGGGGGCAGATATGTGAGCCGCCTGTTCTTGATCGCCGTTTATAAATAGAATGGCCTTATTGCTTAGCTTGTACGAATTTAGGATTGAAGCATTACACCTGCGATATAAAAAAAAAAACATAGTAATCATAGTTATACGGCGTATTGAGTATGACGGATTTGAAATGGAAACCCTCCTGTAAACTATGTTTCTTTGTATACAGTACCAGCTCAATAATTTAGACCGGATCTACGTTTTTAAACGCCAAACTACGTATTATACAGGGTGTTCGGAAATTGAGCTCAGAAACTCGGAGGAAAGATTCAACGTGGTAAAGTAATGTAAAGTAAAATTCTTTTTTTTTTTTAATTTTATATTTAACATTTAAGGGCACTTTACCTAGAACACTTTTTTTCTTTTCCATGTATTTTATTTATTTTATGTTACTGAACCAAATTGGAGTAGACAATAATTGCAAGTTAGAGTGAATGATTTAAAAGAAAAGACCCTCTATTGCTAAGTATTTCCGGGCTTTTGAGCCGTGGTCCCAAGATTACACTCGACGTTTCGTCTACAACTGCGGTAGACATTTTCAATAGCGGCGATGCGGTAACGGTCGAAGTGATCTCCCGTACTGCTCTCCTAGTGGAGAATCCCCGGTATTTAAGCTGGCTGGAGTGGGCGTGGCCTCGCGATTAGGCATAAGCCGTATTCGTCCGGGTAGACATGATGTTTTGTTTATGACCTGAATCCACGTTCTGCTGACGTTAAGGCCTTCTTCTTTTCTGTTGAAATTATTCTGATGTTTCTGAATTTCAATGGCTTCCCTGAAAACATTTAGAACGACACAATGTTCGAGTCTTCTTTAGGACAACCACCACAATCCGACAAAGCTTGAGGCCGGCCAAAGGTACAAGGAATGCCTTATTAACACCGAATTCCATGCTTCTGTGACGGACCAGTCAGCAGTGGCGAAGCATACTCTTACCAAAGACAATCATCGCATCATATTGGAAGACACTCAGGTACTGGATAGGACAACACATTTTCATCCACGACTTTTCAGAGAAGCCATTGAAATTCAGAAACATCAGAATAATTTCAACAGAAAAGAAGAAGGCCTTAACGTCAGCAGAACGTGGATTCAGGTCATAAACAAAGCATCATGTTTACGCGGACGAATACGACCTATGCCTAATATCGAGGCCACGCCCACACCAGCAAGCTTAAATACCGGGGATGCTCCACTAGGAAAATCAGTCATCGGAGAGCAGTACGGAAGATCACTTCGACCGTTACCGCATCGCCTCTGTTGAAAATGTCTGCCGCAGTTGTAGACGAAACGTCGAGTGTAATCTCGGGACCACGGCTCAAAAGCCCGGAAATACTTAGCAGTGTAGTTTCTGGCCGTGAAAGCCTAACATCTTTGACAAATTGGAGTAGTTATGTCAAACAAGTCATATAAAAAAACGAATAGAAAATGAACCGCTAATAATCAGGAGAAGGGAGAAAATCATTGTTAGCGTTAATTCTGACAGCAGTTCTGAGAGCGACATTTCCTATTTCGAGCAAGGGTAAAAAATGTCACTGATATACACGGTGGTCGTAATTAGAGTGTTTTAACAAAAAAAAAGCCTTTTGAAAATTGCCCAAAACTTTCTTATCTATGAAAAATTTAGAGTATAACATTTGTTAAAACAAATGCAGTGGCGTACTTTCCAATACTCCTCCAATTATATACAATTCTCGAATTTCCTGTTCTTCGTTTAAGCGGTTTTGATTTTTTCTTGGCTTTTTGAAGCTTCCGTAATTGGTTGAATTATTTTTTAACGTCCGAAATATTGGTTTGTCTGATTGGTGCCGCTCTGTATATGTACTGAAACAAATTAGCTGCGTCCGCGTTTTTATTTGACCAAAGTAACACTTTATCATATCCCACTTTTCATAATTATGGTACATTTTGCTAAATAAACTGAAAGTTTATGTTTGGCCACTAAAATTATGTGCGACAGAGCACAAAATTCAATAAAGAATAAAAGTTGCCCGTAACTGACATTGACAGCTTTATGGACGGCTTACTAATACATAAACAAAAAATGCCCCATATTTCCGCTATTTTCATCACATACGTAACTATGATTGACATAAAAAAACAATGAAGTTGTATTCATTTACGAGAAAACGGAGAACTGTAGAAAAAATCTGAGCACGCCACTGCAATGGCCTTAAAAAATGCCATAATAATGTTGTCATCCGAATCCAAAGAATATAAAAAGTAAATAAAAAACTGATGGGCAAGTTTCATAAATGCCGAAAATTGGTAGGTCTTAACCATTATATGTTTCTCAAAAATCATGCCCTTGACATGTCAGTCGATTTTGTCCCATCTAGTACAGAAATAAGGTTTTCTTATTAAAACACTTCAATTATTATCACCCTGTACATAAAAATTAGGTAAAGTAAAAATGTTGAGATAAAATTTGGACTGGAGCAACGAAATTTTGGCCTGATTGTTGACCGACGTCAGTGATGCTACCTACGGATTTCAGTATAACTTGGACTATAGAGTAAACTTTTAACCGCACCCCATGAAGTTTATAGTTTTTTAGTGATTTTATTACTTGACAAGGAGCGGACTCAGATGGTCCGCACCATTTGCAATGCTTTAGTCTGGCATATCATAGCGTCTCATAGACACACATCGATAACAAAAAAAAATCAAAAATGGTGGCACAAATATCTTAACATTGCAGAAAACATCAATCACCGGTCAGTTAGATGTGGTGTTTTTGTTTAGTAACATTCAGTTTGCATACTGGTCACGCCATTGGTGTTGGTGCAAACACGTATTACTAGATATTTACTGTGTAGTTAATTTTTGAATCATCCTCAATATGTCGGAAATCGGTAGTACGGGAGTGTTTCCAAACCAAATGATTATATATATATATATATATATATATATATATATATATATATATATATATATATATATATATATATATATATATATATATATATATATATATATATATATATATATATATATATATATATATATATATATATATATATATATATATATATATATATATATATATATATATATATACGAACTCTCACCTATAGGATCCCTGGTCCGATTCGACTACTTCGTCGATTTCCAAGGCGCCAGAAGGTAAGATCGTCATTCGCAAATCGTCTATTTGCAATGGTCGTTCGTCTTTCAGCCATCGTATTTTCGGAGGTGGAATGGCGTCTAGGTAACACGCGAAATGGGCCTTCTGCCCGATATAGACCGTATTATCTTGCGGTTCTTCGAAGAAACCATTCAGTCCTAAGAATAAAAAAAAGTTCCGTTCCAATTAGACCGCGTAAAATGGCATAGATACCAGATTTTTGATTTGACCTCAAAACTCCGATATTGTTGACGGTAGAAACATGCCGTTCATATATTACTGATCTACATTTTTTAAACTTGAAAAATAGTGTAATCAGATTTGGAATAGCCCCCGTAGTCTCCGTTACGGTCTTTAGGAACCGAATATACGAGGTTGGCGCCAAAATTTCCCGGCCTGACATAGATGCAGCTCCAGTATCACGATAAAACCATGTCTTCTTTTAAAAAATGAAGTCTTGCGTCAAATAGTTTTTTATTGACAGCATTTTAAACAAGACTTGTCCGAAAAAATATCGCAAATAACGCAAATTGAGTATAAAGCAGTCATAAAGTTTTTGACAAAAGAAGGGTTCGCACCTAAAATTATTAAAGAAAGACTGGATGGCGTGTACGGCCAAAGTTCTCCTTCGTATTCTATAGTGAAAGAATGGGCAAAACGTTTTCCAATGGGCCAGGAGTCCCTTGAAGATGATTCAAGAACTGGTCGACCAGTGGAGGTCGACGTTTAAAGATCAAGGAAATCTTAGAAGTTACTAAGCTTTCTGATACAAGTGTTCGTCGAATCCTGCATGATCATTTAGGTATGCATAAGGTTAGTGCAAGATGGGTTCCTAAAAACCTTTCCGCTATTCAAAAACTACGCCGTGTCGATTGTGCGCGGTCTGTTTTGGAACTCTGTAGGTCAGAATCGAAGACTGTGATAGAAACTATTGTGATATAAGATGAAACTATGGTTTTCTATTACGACCCTTTATCGAAAAAAGAATTAATGGAGTGGCGTCTTAAGGTGAGGCACCTCCAAGAAAATTCAGAGTCTGCCAGTCAATAAAAAAAGGATCTTTTGGGATTGTGAAGGAATTCTTTTGATAGATTTTAAAGAATCTAATACCACTGTCAATGGTGAATATTACGCAACATTATTACATAATTTGCGAGACTGCATACGTGTAAAACGTCGAGGAAAACTGACCAGAGGCGTACGTCTTTTGGACGATAATGCACCTGTCCATACTGCTGGTGTTGCACAAGGTGCCATTTTAGAGTGTGGGTTCCAACAGATGATCCTCCTCTCTATAGTCCAGATATGGCCCCCATTTGTTTGGATATTTGAAAAAGGACTTACGCGGACGGCGGTTTAACGACGCAGTTGAGTTAAATAAGCTGTTTTAGTTCATTTTGTAGACAAACCAAAAGAATATTTTTTTAAAGGGATTGAGTTGTTAAGAAAGAGATATAGTAAGTGTATTGAAGTTAAGGGGGATTATATTGAAACATAATACAAAATTGTTACTCTACTTTGTTTCTTTCATATTCAGGCAGGGAAATTTTGGCGCTGCCCTAGGACATGCAGAACTGTAGATCGGCCAAAGTAAACTCGAAAGAGTCAAGAAGATATCAGGTACAATTATTAAGCGAGGACTGGGACCATTCACGAGAAATAAAATCCAGAATTGAACAAGCAAGATCAAGGTTCATGATTATGAGGAAAATGATGTCTTCTTTTACACATAACGTTAGCCACCAACGTTCGGCGCCTTAAAGAATTTACATTCACGCAAAGCTAATTTGATTCGAGCATAACCTTTTCGTTTTCATTGGCCATACTTACTTGCTATGCTTAGTTTGGCACTGCGACTGACAACGGAACCGATATTTGGCAACGTGGCCATGCACTGATAGGTCCCCGTTAACCTTTGTTCCTCGATGACACTGTTAATGTAAAGGGATCCGTTGGTAAGTTGAGACCTGCAATTAAATGAAACCTCTGCAATGTACGGCCGTGCGGGTTCTACAGGCAGCGTTTTCCGAATTAAAGAAATAGGAAAACGTAGAAGACCAGCGGATAATATTACCTGACTCGACATCTTAACATATGTTACACACAACACCGCAGGAAAACTACTTTCTTCAATTAATATGCCGGAGTCACACATTTTCTTTTTTTTTTATTTATTTTTTATATGATAATAAAAAATCCACTGTCTATGCCTGTGTTTATATTTGCAACGACACTGAAAAAAATTACCCTAATATTGACTTTATTTCTTTTCAACAAAATTTGTTTTAATAAACTAATCCTTGTTTGTATCAAATAAATGTACGTATTTGAATATCTTAAATCAATTGTTTGAAAAATGTTTTTGGATGTTAATTTCTAACGAACAATTATTTATTTAGACCAAATAAAAAATAATAGGATCTGCTTAGTTCATTATATCAAAGTACTGCTCCTTTGATTTAAATACCTTTTCTGCCCTTTGTTAGCGGTGTGGTGACAGCCAATTTTTTAGATTTTTTTATAGGCAAAATCGAAAAAATTATAATGGAAATAAAAATATTTTTGATTCAATATAGCTCATTTAGTCATTTGTGACCTACATTTCAGGGTAATTATTTATAAAATTGGAAACTTTTGGTAAGTAATTATTTCAATATGATATATATTATTATATAGTATTATTATTATTATAGTATTATATATTATGAGGTTTAAAGAATGTCAGTTGATCCACTTTCACACCGTAAATTTCGTTATATATATCACATATCATATATAATATAATAATATAATATATATTTAATGTATAAATAGGCATGTATTTAATAATAACATACCTATGGCTCCATTTGGTAACTGTATTCATTCACATCACAACTGTCCCAGCACTGTCATTGTCATATGAGAGAAGCAGAAGTATGGCGTCGCATCCCCATCATTTTGACAGTTAAAATTTGCACCGATTTTTTTTTAGTCGGTCCTTTTGTTTGTTTTATATCTCTTTTTGTTTGTTTTGACTTCCCAGGTCGTCGAAAGTTGTGTTACGAAGGCAAAGAGTTCATAATGCTATGGTTTTCAAAATGTCCTCGAATCATTTAAGATCACAAATTTTTAGACTTTAGCAGAAATGGAGATGAATTAAACCAATCGAGATATACGACTAAATAACTAATTTATATTATTTATAAATAATTTTTTTGAAATGTTTGAACAGACTTTCAATGTGATATGTCATATTAAATCAGTTGGCAATCTTCATTGATCCTGATGGATTTGGATGATTGCCATATAAAATAAGAAAGCTGTATTAATTTATGAGAATTGTCGAAAAAAATCTGAGTACGCCACTGCATTTGTCTTAAAAAATGCCCCAACAATATTTTGATCCGAAACAAAAAATTTTCACAGTTAAAAAAGGTATCGGCAGTTTTCAAAACGTCCTCGGTTGGTAACGAAGATATCGCCATGCGGTTTTAACCATTAAATGTGTCTAAAAAATCGAACCCTTGACATGTAATTCGATTTTGCTCTATGTAGTTCCCATTAAAACGCTCCAATTACGACCACCCTGTACAAATACTCCGGAAGTGCCTCTCATTAACGTACCCACCTACAGACGTTCGTGAATTAATATTCACGCGTTTTATCAGTTTCCGTTTCAATCTAAAAGCGGCTGGCCATTCCAGACTATCACTCTATTTAAAGTTGTCTTTGAAAGCACACAAGGCAGACACACCTTTCGAAACCCAAAAGAAACATTGCTCGAGCGTTTATCTACGAGATGGATCTATTTAAACCTATCATATTTCGAGCCGTTATTTTCGTTGCTCGGGCTCCATAGTGTAACCGATGTCAGTTTCCTGACATCTAAGTAAAGCTGATTTATTTGTCGGGCTAAACACGCCATATGTGCCGTAATGCAGTCCGCACTGGCGCAACAAAGGGGTTTTATGTGCCCTTTAAACGACAGCTTTTATATACTAAAAACTGGTACAACTATAGGTTTTAATACGGTGCACCTTAATGGAAGTTTTAGCAAAGTAAACTTTTAATGCGCTGCTATTTTACTTGCCTTTACTTTACTTTGCTCTGAAATTATTTATTTTGTTGCACTTAAGAATACAAAAAAAAAATAAAAACCCGAAACATACAAAAAAATACTGGTGCGTAAACGAACCACCAGGAAAAAACATGTAACATATAATTTATACGTAAATATAGAAAAGAAAGTTCAAATTCGACAGAAAACAACTAAAAGTAGATTGTTTTCCAAATAGAACCTGATTTGATACAAAAAAACGCGTAATATTTTATGGTGCGTGAGGGCACGCCCGGATACATTTTTGGTGATATTTTACAAAGCCTGAAGTATGCACATTACACTTATTACAAACGTAGATTGTGTGGCTGTGGTAGCTTCTACATCTCCTTCGGGCTTTATTAGCATGAACAATCATGATGTGACCTTGATTATCATAACGCACTTCATCTATGGCAGGTGCAAGATTTCTTTGAATAATTGTTTTATCAGTTTTTAAAAGTCGCAAAGCAATGTAAGATTTAAAATCAAATCACTCACTTTGTCATCAAAAAACATAAAAATTATTTCAAGCGGAGTTTTTCCAGAGAGCCTATTTTTTAGTTCCTCACATGATCTAAATTCATCGGATATAGGTGTGTGAGTGTACTGAATCTGATCTTTCTTCCATTGGTAGAAGCAAGCCTGTTGTTTGCAGAAGGCATAAGTCTTCTTTTGAATTCCAGGGTTTCATCATCTGACGGGTCCCATTCAGGTTCAGTAGTTGATGAATTACAGGACAGTTGAAGGACAGCTGTCTCAACTGTGTATGCAACTCGAAAGTTCCAACTATATCAGTTGGTTCCCCAAACTCTTTTAGATTTATATTTCAATATTCCATATGTTCTGTAAACATTTTTTCACGCTATTTTTAGCATAAATTTACAAGGAAAGGACTACAATACATAAGAGTATGTATAATACTTACGACTTTCATTGTTATTGTCCTCATCCAACAATTTCTCCAGAAAAATTACGGAAATGTGGCCGTGACGCCTGCGCAAAAGGTCCCCACCTTCTCTACGAAAATATCATGGCCACCTGCGGCGCAGCACTGTTTACCGTAGTAGGTAGTAATTAATGAATCAATTAAAATCGGACCGCATCTAAAAATGGTACCAACAGAGACATACGGACCATCTTTGATTACGTCACTACACCACGTGACGTAGACGTACAGAATGACAATAACATCCACGATAGATGTAAATTACCTACGTTTTGCGAATATTTACTTTAAACGCGGTCGAATTAATTGTCAATCGACATTTTGCGAGGGCGTTTGTTCCACGGTATTCGATTCCACCGATCCATCATATCAATTCGTCGTCCCAGTTTGACACGTAACAAATTAATCGAATCGAGTAGCTCCGTGGGAAACGAAACTGACAGGATTAATAGGCGACGGCCACAATAGGTGCTTTTCACTGTGAACGATCCCACACAATTAACGTGATAAATTATCCGGCGGTATGCATTTATTTGATTAAAATTATTGAGATATTTGAACTATTGACACGAGTTGATTTTTTTTATTGAATTAAACCGAAGAATGTACGCGGGAAATGTCATCGTTCGCCCGCAGAGGGCGTACAATATTACCGAATATTACCGAAACATAATTTGTCAGCAAATATTTTATGCGCATATATTAGCAAATACATTGGATAGTTTAATTTCGTTACTTTAAAATTAAATAATATATTTTGTTAAGGACTTTAGAATCGGTTTTGTAATTAATGGATTTTTTGTTTTTTTTGGATTTCTATACTTTCATAAAGGTCTCTTTTTTTGAAATTAGGTTTTGTCAGTAGTTATTTATTTCGAATAACAATTTTTTAATTAATAATTAGAAATATTATACATAACATTATAAATAGCGGCGAGTGGGGCACGACGGCCAGAAGCTTCTCCAAAATTTGGGTAAATTTAGTTAAAAATATGGGGGCAGTCTTGCCCCACCCAACCCTATTCTCTTTGTTGTATAGTTTAATAAATTAAATAATTATTATTGTTATTATTATTATTATTATTATTTCCTTCATTACGAAAATGTCATAGATGTTTGAGAGGACTCCTATATTATTAATATGGGCGTAACATACGTCTTTGATAGACGTCGAAACTCGCCGGAATATGATCGTTCTTCGAAGGCTAAGGAAAAATCTAATTTTAATTCGTTAATTGAATCTCACGGGCGCCCATAAGTCACTGGAACGCAACCGGTGGCCTACGCCTTGGTATTTTTTCATTTTAGATTTATAACGTTTTAATTCCCGATGGAAAAATTTCTATTCGTAGCGCTCGGAGTTTTTTAATCAGATAAACTTTCTTTGACTGTGAACACGCAATCCAAAAAAATTAAATATACAAGATGTATCAGTTTTTTAAATCATAATTTATGCGTCTCAATTGATATTTTATTTTAAACCAATTTTATTGAATCAACCAAAAAAAAAATATCTTGTAGATTTTCGGTAATACAATTCTACGTTCCTCTTATGACTTATCGCGCTTATAGTATTTCTAGAGGTACAGGATTATTTTTTATAATTGTTTACCCACCTACAGGGGGTAACAGAAGTCACCGAGAAAAACTGCTAATACAAAAGCTGTATAATTTTTGCAGTATAATCTTTTTTACTTGTAAAAGGAAACAAATGCACATCGCAAAGTTGAAAACAAGCGAGTTTTTATTTTTAAATAAAAGACCCTATATATTTTCTGTTACAAAAAGATCTTTTTCTCTTGACTTCAAAAATATATAAATTGTTCTTACTAATGAAGCAACCTTCACGACGGAAAAATAAGCATCATCCAGCTTTCCAGTTCACAAATACATTAACCTCCAGTTACAATTCAGTGGCCGGCTAATAGCCCCTATTTAGACTCTCTTGACATTTTCAAATGGGGATTTTAAAAAAACTTTTATTTAGAAATTTCGATTCTAAATTTTGGAAAGATCCTTAGGTATACCTAAATCTCTCACTAAGCCTGATTATAAAAATAACTGTGTTTACTGAGAAAGATTGCATATATCACCAACATCACTAAGGGTATCTTCATCTATTTCAGATCCAGGAAAAAATGGTGTTATATTCTTCTAAATTGGCTGTATTGCGAGACATTGAGACATCTAGGTCATGTGACACGGCCCTAATTGCAGATTTGAGATTCGGATAAACATTTCTTTCCAATTTTTAGTATTATAACCACGAACATTGCATGTGCAGAAATCATGGTTATTTGTTAGCTCTCTCCATATCATAGGTAGGTGCGAACCGCCTGGTTCCATTATTCCATTATGTCTTAAAGTTTCTTCACATACCTTACAAATAATATGTAACGACCAAGGCTTGTCTTGATCACCAATTTTTACTTTTAATTAAACGTAGTATTGTTGTTTAAACCACAGAAGAACCATACACATATCAAAACGTATCTGGAATATTGGCAGTGGCGTAGCGATTTCAATTTTTAAAATGTTATGTAATGTACCTATTTTTAAAACAATGACACCTCAAAATTAATTCAATACCATTGTTTTTCTATTAGCTCGTAACTCCAAAAACGTAAAAAATATCAAATCACTAAATTTTTGTCACCCTTTGTTATTTTTATTATTTGGTGATTCTTAAATGCGTTAAACAATTAGAATTAAAAATAGGAACAAGTTGAACCTAGCGTAAAGGAAACGGGAACAGGATATTTACCTGTACATGTCACCAATGAATGTCAACTTCGATCCGTCCTGGTCCAGCCATTGGATGAGGACGCTCTGTTGATGTTGCGAGGCTTTGACCACGCAATCCAATACGGCCGACTGACCAGCTTCGACCACCGTATCGGATGGTTCCACTGAAAATTCCAGCACATAACCTGGAACAACATTTTCAATAGATGTAACAATTTTCAATATCTATCTCGTTGACTTTAGCAATATTTAGCTTTACCGATCCAATGACCTTCCTGTTCTTTGAAACACCCTGTATAGTTAAGCGCATGAAAATAATAACGGATACTTTATTAGACGTAGACTGGTGTGCGAAATAAAACACATTTGAATACAAATCAAACATAATTCAGCATTTAATTGATACTCAATGGGACACTTATCGGGTTAAAATTTTATATTGGTACAGCAGTTACGCAAACCTTTAATACGATAGACATTTTCTATTAAATTGAAATGGTTAAAAACTATTAATTATCCATTTCAATGCATAACAACCAAATAGTAACGATAGTTCAGATATTGTTTGAATCCTGTTCACTATCTGAGTTAGTCTGTGAACTGTTTTCAGATATCAGATGTCACAAGGTTTAATTTTCTTTTGCCTGCTATTTTCGCAAAGGTTTTTGAAATAAACAAAAAATTAAAATTAAAAATATACATCTCGCGCCATTTTTGACAGCTGGTGGTAATTTAATTGACAAAATTAAATATTTCTTCAGCTTAAAAAGCTTCAAAAGTATAATATATATAATGTATAATATAATATAAAATTTTATAATTCTGAATTCAGGCAACTGCATTTCTAGGGCGATGTAATAAAAAAAAATTAAATGCTTTCAATTTCTTTCTTCAAAATGTGATATCTTATGAGTATTTAATTAACATTTTTTTCAATAAATATAAAACGTTACTTCGGCGTAAACATAATTCAAAATTAATATAATATATTCGTTTGAAACATATGAAAATCATGCACCAATTTTTCTGTAGTCATTTTGAATGTCGAGCATTGAATTTTCAAAAAGCTGGTCGCTGCGGCGCTTCATTTTTTGCTCAATTTTATAAAAGTTTAAAAATACATTCGGGTGATTTTTGAGGTATCTGTAAGATTTTGAAATTTTTTCTTAAAAAATTCGTCAGCTTAAGCATATACGACATATTAAATTTATTTCCAACATCATAGTGTCAACTGGTTAAAACTTGAAAAAAAATATGGGGCCTATTTTTATTTCCCTACAAAAAATTAGAAACTAATCTGGTCTATCTAATTTTTGATTAGTCATTTCGAATGTTGAGCAGTGTATTTTCAAAAAGCTAGACGCGCCGTCATTGCATCTCTTCCGTTATTTTATCAAAATAAAAAGTCAATTTTATTGATTTCTGACATCTTCGCCGCGCCTTTGATTTTTTTCTACAAAAAAAATAATATTTTGTGGGATTTTAATTGACATTTTCTATCAATAAATACTACAAAACGTTTCTTCAGCTTAAACATAAAAAATTAACATATTGTGTGAATTTTGTACGTAAGTATACAAAAGTTGTTTAGCGCAAAATGATGTTTATTTCATTTGATTTAATTCAATTGTCACTCAAGTACGTACAGGGTGATCAAATATATATCCAACGATATATATATCCACATATCGTTCTTTAATGCACTGTTAATAGCGAATATCTTCGGGATTCTGGGTTAGGTTGGACAAATTTTTGCTACGTCACACAGAAACATTTACATACATTTTAGAAAATAATACTTTTTCTCAGACAATATTCAAAATTACCGGAGCTCTGAAAATAAACTGAAATAGAACATCCAAATTTAATTTGGCAATAAGCGCCATCTTATTGCCGAATTATTTACCATCGAAGTGCTGATATTAGTGAATTTGGATTGGGCGAAATGGCAACCTCTGGCCAGCGAGGAGACCGGATTTAAACCCACTGGACTTCTTTGTGTGTAAACGATTTGACGTTTTCGTACTGCAATAACAAATTCGGGATGCAATTAACCAACTAAATTCATAAAACATTTTTAGGTAAACTTGTATAATTCAAAATGGTGGACATGTGGACAATTTAATATAAAATTATTAATTTCATTTTTGAAAACGTTTATGAAATGTTACTGTTTTAAAAATAAAATAATCTATAATTTTTACAGCAATTTTAAAAAAAATGATTTTCGATGCAGCAATTTCATTTAAAAAAATATTACAGAATATCAGAATCAAGGTTATTAAATTCGAAATGGTGCATCGCGGGCCAATGTTGGATTGGTCCTTCAAAGGACTCTCCTAAAATGCAAAAATATACAGAGTATTTGATTTAAAAAAAATGAGAGAAGTAACATTTTCCGAAACATCGCAACACCGCGTATTTGATAAAAATATTTCAATTTTGAATATTGTCTGAGAAAAAGTATTATTTTCTAAAACATATTTCAATTTGGAATATTGTCTGAGAAAAAGTATTATTTTCTAAATTATGTTAGGAAGAAAAATATCTTAAAAGTTAATAAGGAATGTAACAAAATCATTCCAGCATAATCTGAGTTCTGAAGATATACGCTAATAATACGCATATCCTATATCATCCTTAGATTCGTCTTTTAAGGGGTATTTAAAAATGTAATATAATTTAAAAATATATAATTTTTCTGACAATTTTGAAAAATTTTTGAAATAATACAAAAAAGATCATTTTACTGGAAACCAGGAACCTCTTAAACCGGCCACCCTGTACAATTTCAATATTATAGAGGCAACTGAAATAAATCCACAATTTCTGCTCGGTCTCCTCGAATATAGAATAAAATATCAAAAAGCTAGACGTTACGTAAACAGAAACGCGTATTCCCAAAGGGGCGCGCAAAAAAGAAAAACAGTTCAAATCAGCCTGCATTCGGTACAGTCTATCCCCATACGCAAAAGCGGGAAAACAACCAAACGAACAACTCCTGCAAATGAGACGCAGCGGACTGGAAAGCTCTAAAATAATCACGCTCTTTAAAATCTAGCGTCGCGAGAGGCGAAAAAATATCAAAAGGGGGCGGGGGAAAAAAAACCCTCGCTTTCTCGTTAGGCCCTCATTTAGACACCTCGAGATTAGCGTCGATTCATTCGAATGTACGGGGAGAGAAGATACGCTCTTTTGCTCGTTTTGCAAGTGCAAAGATCAGCGGTTTGAACAGCTTTTTTGAAAATAATTTTGGAGCGGATGTCATAATTTTTCGATCTACTAGGAAAAAAAATATTATTACAACTCAAAAAATTTTTTTGAAATATTAATAAAATCCCGACTAGAAACAGAATCTTTAAAACCCTGAAAACCAGACGTTTTCGGGACCTACTTTATACAGGGTGAATCGAAAAGACGGGTAGACTGGTTAATGACATATTCCTTGTGTGCAAATATTGGGACTAGAGGGCGCGTTAAACTTTATTTTAAAAAAATAACATTTTTATCTATAAATATCGCAGCTTTTGACATACTTTGTTGAAATCGGCATGTATAATTTCTGTTAAGTTACACTTTTAATGCGAATGTTGTAAAAAAAAAATGGCAAACTACTACGAGAACTACCCCAAATTTTCGCCGATGTACGCCTACGATCTTATGGATTTATTGCCCATTTATTTATTTATTAAACCTCTTTGTATATTTCTTTCTATCTTGGTAACTTTTGCTGATAATTGTAGTGTTCAAGATATTGTCTAGAGCAGTGGTTCTCAACCGCCGTTCCGCGGAACACTGGTGTTCCGCGAAGCTGTCCCAGGTGTTCCGCGAAAATTTTGAATATAATATAATAAGAAACAGTAAATTTTTTTATTACTATAAAATAAATACTACATAGTTTTGTTAATTATTTGAAATTTAGCAAAAATATTCAATATTATTCTAAATTTTCGCGGAACAGTCAATAATATTAACAGTGTAATTATCGAACGACGCAGTTACGTCGTTTGGAGTTACTCCGGGGAATACCACTAAATTTCTAGTGTACTCGATAACGCAGGGAGCGCTGCGTAGTGTTGATTTCGTGCTGTTTCTCTTTCTTCGTACGTAAATAACAAAAGCGCAATTTCGATCTGCGGTTCAGCCATAATTTAATATAAATATCGAGTTTTCGTGAGTGTGTTTTTTATTGTATATATATATATTTTATATTGTTGGAAATTGGTAAGATGAAATGCAAGTTGTGTAGTTTTAACAGTATTCTTATCTTTTTTAGTTGCTTATTTTAGCATTTATACAAGACTTTTAAATCTGAAATATGGACAAATTTTTGAAAAGAAAGACTGAAAGTGAGGTTAATGTTGGGGCGAGTACAAGCAGGTCTTCTTCAATTGAAGGAGATATGCAAGGCAACAAAAATGCCGAAAATAAACGTAAAAAGATATCCGAATCAGTTCGGCATTATTCGGAAGAATATCTGAAGTTTGGTTTTATATGGAGCGGTAGTCAAGATGTTCCTATTCCGAGATGTATTGTATGTGGTGAAAAATTGGCTAACAGTGTAATGGTCCCGGCTAAGTTACGGCGACACCTTTCAACAAAACATTCTTGTCTAACTTCGAAAGGTAAAGATTATTTCGAAAGATTGCTGAAAAATCAAGAAGTGCAAGCAACATGCTTTCGAAAGAGCGTTACAATTTCGGATAAAGCGCAAATCGCTTCTTATAAAGTGGCAGAACTAATTGCATTGAAGCAAAAGCCGCATGATATCGCAGAATCGCTAATTTTGCCCGCATGTTTAGAAATTGTTAAGATTATGTTTGGCAATGAAGTGCAGCGAGACGTCCTAAAAATTCCCGTTTCGGACGATACGATAAAAAGAAGAATTATAGATATGTCAGGTTTTATAGAGAACGCAGTGACGGCGAAATTAAGTACAAAAAATTTTGCGCTGCAAATTGACGAATCCACTGACATAAGTGGCAAAGCCCAATTAATCGGATTTATTCGCTTTGTTGACGACACTGAAATAATAAATCAGTTTTTATTCTGCAAGGAACTTATTGGTCACGCAACTGGAGAAGACATATTTAATTCAGTATCATCTTATTTGGAAGAATGGAAATTATCCTGGGAAAATTGCGCAGGAATCTGTACTGATGGAGCTCCAGCCATGCGTGGCAGT